GCAGCGCGGAGCAAGGCCGGGCCTCGGGCGGCGGAAGACCCTCCTGGCCGCCCGCAGGCGCGGGATGGGCCGCGCGCGCCTTCCGGCAGCAGCCCCCGGAGCGAGCCTCGCGTGACGGGCGCGCCGGGCGACCCGCGCCGCGCCGCGCCGCGCCGGCCTCTCCTCGGACGGGGCCGCCGCCGCCGCCGCCGCCTGGACTCGGAGAGCCCCCCCGGCACGGTGGGTTCCTGGGGCGAAGGGAGAGGGCGGGACGGCCGCGCCGACGGGCAGCGTGCGCCCTCCCCGCGACGGGGCCAGTCCGGCGTCCCCGGGCTGGTCCGCGGCGGGGGCGGTGGCCCGGGTCCTCCTGCCGAGCTCTGCGCCGCGAGGTGCCTGCATCTGGGCCGCTCGGCCGGGGAGCCCGTGGGCCCCTTTCCCGGCCGGCGTGGGGCGAGCGCGGCCGCCCTCCCGGGGGGGAGTGCGGGATGGGGCGCCGCGGTCAGGCTGCCTTTCGATGCGTGTCACGGGAAAGGAGGTCGTGTGCACGGGCGGTGCATGTGGCGCGTTTGATTCCAGCCTGAATGCGGCGCATGCTTTGGCCGCTTCTCCGCCAGTGTGGCCTCGACGGCAGGCTTAAAGCGGGCCAGCCCGGCTCTGATCCAAACCGGTCCCACGTCCGTTTCCTCGTAGCTCGTGCTTTGTTGCGCGGCGGTTTCCTGTGCGTTGTCGCGGCCGTGGACAGGCGGATCTGGGTATGCGATAGATGTGGGCTTCTTAGTATGCCTTTATGACAGAAGTAAGCGCTCCTTGTATTCGGTTGCATTGTCTCGTGAGAAAGGCTAATGCGGGAAAATACAGTCATGGCAATTAGTTAATAAAATTATATACCGCTTTGGATATTTTCTTTAGAATCGTGCTGCTGTCCCCTTTCTTGTGCTGATCACTCTTCTCTGTTGCACCACCTCTGCCGGCAACGTCGCGGTAACTACCCGTGTGTAGTACCCCTTGACCATGCGCACGACAGGCTGTGGCTGAGTTCTCGTGATCACCACCATGGCTCCCCCCCCCCCAGTAGCGTGTGCCTAATTGCCTTCCAAGTGTGTGGGTTGCTGGGTCATTCCAGCATGGCCAGGTGTGTGGCAGGCTTAGCTGGGAAGCTGCCAAGTGCCCCTGGCTTCTTGTGGGGGGCTGGGCTGGGCTGGGCGCCCGGCTGTGCCCCACAACAACCCCTGCACTAGGAGGGCGTTTGGGGAAATGGAGCATTGTGGGGGAGAGGGAAGATGCCGCCGAAGCGGCATTCTCCAGGGAGCAAACAAACGCGGTCAGTATGTCTGAGCGTAACTTTCTCTCATCTGGCTTCCAGGCCCTGTTGCAGAGTAGGAAAAGAATGCTGTGGAGCAGGTACTCCACCCCTGGAGCGGCCTCTGAGTTCCCACGGAGGGGTGTGACACCAGTTGGCTTCCTTCAGTGCAAGCATCCTCTGTTCTTGGATAGGATGGAATAGGAGAGGCTGAGCGCATGACCATTCATTTAGTGTCCCTTTGGCTCGCTGCGCTTTCTGCATGCAAAGCGGCTGTCTGGGGAGATCCCAACCCTTGCTGCTCGCTCGCTCGGCCGTTCCAGTAAGCTCTTCCAGTACAAGCCTGCCTGGTCAGTTGCCTTTTCTCTTTGAGATGGAGAAGCTGTGGTCTGCTGATGGTTTGAACCCTACAACCGTGAGTGTTAAATCCATTCTTGTTGGGTTAATTGGTGTTTTGACACTTTTCTGCAACTGAAAAGTATCCTGATTTGGCTGAGTGGCAGATGGTGTTTTCTAAAAATGCTGTTTTTAATACAGCCCTTTCTAAAAACTTCCGGGGGTGAGGGCTGAAGCTCCATGGAGGACCATGCACTTGGCATGCAGAGAGTCCTGGATTCAATCCGCAGCCTCTCCAGGGAGGGCTGGGAAAGATTCTGCCCAGAGCGCTGGAGAGCCTCTGTCAGTCAGTGCCGATGTACTGAGCTAGGTGAGCAAGGGTCTGACCTGGTGTGAGGCAGCGTCTTTCTTACCTGTGTGCTGTCTTAAAGGAGATGTTTTCCTGCTATTGCATAGAAGATGCTCTGGTATGATCAGAAATTTACATGTGCTCCTTCAGCAACATCACTTTTAACCATGCACGGCATTATCCGGGGTGTTAATGGCAGTATTTATATTGTTCCAGAGCAAAAACTGTCTTAGGCCTTAGGAATTGCTTGGCCTTGAACTGGGCATAGCACAGTGGAGGTTGGATGGGTGTGTTTGGGAGCAGACAATATCACCCAGCACGAAGGAAAGAACTGATCGTATTTCAGCTTTGCAGTTCCTATCAGGCATGGTGCTGACTGAGCAGTGGTCTGACCAGTTGAGCACTCTCTCCTTCCTTCCGTCCTCTTAGATGAGCGAGTGAAGAAGGATGCAGATGCATTTCAGAGATGCTGGGAGCTCTGCTGAAGCGCCATTTCTTTATTTTATTTTTATTTTATTTAGCGTTTGTATATGCCGTCCCAGTCACATAAGCCTCGGGACGGCTTCCAACATTGAAAAATATACAATCAATCACATAAATCACATAAATCACATATATATATATAAATGTGTGATTTATGCCACACCCTCTGTCCTCCCACCACCCCAGCCGCTGGCACCGCTACCCCCCAACTCCGTCGTTTCTTCTCCAGCTGTCCTCGTTGTTGTTCTTCCCACCCCTGCCTCCCCCTCTGTGAGGCGGCCCAGGGGGCATTGGGCTCTTCCGACTCCCCGCCAGATCTCCTTCTCTGGGAGAATCCTCGGAGTGAGAGATTGAGCAGGCTCCAGGGCTGGCGTGTTTGAATGGGCGGCTAGCACAGAGGAGGAGGCGGCGGCCTGCCATTCCCCCTTCAGGCCCAGCACTGGGCACCCAAGGCAGCTGCCCTGGTGGCCCACTTTTCCAGCTCCTCACATTTCTTGGTCCTGCTTAGGTGTGGCGGATGGGAGTTGGAATCCAGCAACACTGAATTTATTGCAGATGGCTCCTCACATCCTATGGTACATCAAAGCATGCAGCGTTCTGTGTGGTTTTTTCTCACTGTGTGTGAAGTCCTCCAATAGCCATCAGGTGCAAAGGGATGGCCTCAGTCTTGACGGATGAACTGATGCCTGCAAGTCACTACTAATCAGAGAGCCTACAATAACCCTCCAAATCAGGCTAGTTGCTGTTTGTTGTTATTTCTAAGCAGTAACTATTTGGAGACACGTCTGGCACCAGATGATGCTTGGTCCCCTGCAGCAGTGTTTGTAAAGCTGTATACTGGTGCCATTCAAATATCAAGCTGGGGTTGGGGGTTCCGTATTGCCCTGCCTGGTATTCATGGGTGCAGACGGGGGCCTCATTAGGGTGGCTTTAAGCCTCCGCCCTTCCCCTGGGGACCCAGATGTGGGGAGCCAGTCCTGCTCCTCTCTGCACCCCTGCCCCAGGTTTTTAGGGTGTTCCTCTTTCCTGCTGAGCCAGTCATCTGCTGTAAGGATAATATCAGCCTGGATGATATCAGGATCCAGGTATTCTGAGCTCTGCAGGGAAGCATTTAGTCACTCATAAGCAGCAGCAGCAGCATCTCAAGGGACTTACTGGTAAGAGCACACCCAGGACAGCGATGGGGACGGAATGTCATGAAGAAATGCCTGGAAAAAGGCGCCGAACCCAGAAGCGGCCTAGGAGATGGTGAGAACATTCTTTTCTGAGGAATTAACATGTCCATTTAATATTTCATCTCTGGAAAAGCTTTATGCAATCTTGATCTGTAACGTAGCTAAGCGTTTTTGATCCCATTGAAAAAGACCAATAATTTGCCATAAAATGTTCACTCTTGATTAATTCTGATGATGCTGATTTGAGCCCTTGAAGATTACATAGTGATCTCATGTGGTTTTCATTAACGGGGAACCCAGAGCAGAGGCCTGGATTAAATCAGCAAAGGAATGGCAAAACCACACGAAGAAACGAGAATGACGTTGATGCATTCTTGGGATATTTGTGGGATGGGGCTGCTAACCATGGATAAAAGAAGCAGGACCAGGAACGCTAAAGAGCAAAGCAAACGAAGGAGGCCGAGGACTAAACTGTTATGCTGAGTAGCTCCTTGTGTCAGGGTCGTGGCCCACCGTGTGAGCCGGACCTTACCTGCACAAGGCCTTTTGTCCAGGTCCAGGCCTTACCTGCACAAGGCCTTTTGCCCAGCCTGAACCTTCCTGAATGGAGGTTGCATGTAAGTTTCATGCTTTGCCGATCATTTTGTTTCAAGCTGTTTCCCTTAAGGCTGCAAGCCCGTTCATGCATGAGTCCTACTGAATTAAATGGGATTTAACGTCAGTGCAATTGTGAGTAGGATTGTGTGCACAGGAATTAGCCATGGTTTACCTTGGGGAACTTGGCCTAAAATGTAACACATTTAGCTGTATCTAACAAGCAGGATCGCTCCAACTCCAAACGACGTGGGCAGTTCAAGCCAGCCTACCCATCTCTGTAGCTCAGGCACTTCGCTAGTAGCAGATGACACCCCCGTTTTCACAAGTTCTGGTGCTGAAATCCAGACAGAAATGGGAAGAATGTCATCACCTGAGCTGTGATTATGGATTTGACCCCTTTCTTCAAATTCAAGGGAGCTTTGCAATTGAACTCTGGCTAGATTGCCCAGTCATGAGAATAGTTTTCCATGTGCTTCTTTCTGTAGGCTCTGTTGTCTCAGTAGCCAGGAGTCTGATCTCATGCAGAGAATATGTGTGTGAGCACAAGCAGCCTAACTTCTTGTACTAATTAACAAGAAGGGTGGTGGGGATGGTGACTCTCCTCCTCTGGAATGAGGATGTGTAATGCTGGCCTCCATCCATGCACCTGCTTCATGCCACACCTGTGTGATCACCTGAAACATGGTTGGCAAGGCAACAGGAAATGGATAGTTCGTTCTAAGCTAAGGCAGTATAAGTTGCGTAGGCTACCTGGGGTCCAGTCTTGCAAGCTCTCAACGGTGGTGTTTATTTAATTGGAACAAATTGTGTTCTATACTGTTTGTCTTTTCAAAACATGGCCCACATCAGGGGGTTCTTCTTGTTCTGGAGGCGGTTGGCAGGTTGGAACTGGAGGTCCTGAAATAGCTCTCCGTTTTTTTCAGGGAAATAATTAAAATGAATTCTTTTCACTTCCAGCTTAGGAAAAATTACAAATAGTGTATAGTATAATCCTTAATTTTGTTAAGTTGGCTATCAGCAAACTAAGGCAGAAAGTGTGTCATTTCACTCTCTATCCGAATAGTTCTCTCGTCCATCTCAAGAGATTTGGTGACTTGTGTATGTTCTGAGAAGGCCCTCCTAGGGGCTTCTGGTCCCACATTGTATGGATTGAAATGGTCTTTCTTGAGACCACTCTTTGAAGTCCCTAACTGGTGTCTGGGAATTTCTAATCCGGATGCAGGATACTTTTAATTGGTTGGTTTAAATATTTGCTGTTGGGGAGGCGGCTGATGTCATAATAAGCTGAAAATGAGTTGGGGAGGGTCGGGTGCCGGATGGAGGAGCAGGCTCTCTGGCTCGCCGTGGCCCGTTTCCGCCTCAGTCCTCCTGGCGGGCATCCCGTGGGCCCTTGTGGAGCAACTTCGGCAGCTCGCTTTGTAGAGCTTCTTGTCCACCTTTGGGAAGATCTGCACGTCAGCGGCACTGCTTTTCCACCTTCAGGGAAATGTGTGCGCATTGTAGTGTGGTGTTGGCACATGGTTAACAAGCCGCTGCGAGGAAAAGCGCACCGGCCTCCTGCAGCACAACACGCCACCCTGAAACAAGCAGGGCTGGCGGGCCACAGAGGCAGAGTTGCGGTGTCCTGCGAGCCAGGCCGGCGGCTCCCAATTGCTCCTGCTGGCTCCTCCTGAAAGCCGGCCTGCTGAAAGAAGACCTGGGCCGCCTTCTGTTACTTGTTCATACGGATGCTCTACGGGGGAACTTAGACTTTCTTTCCCCAAGCAAGCCAGAGATACTTACAAGCAGCCGTTTGTTGTCGACTCGTGACTGGCCTGCTCATCCATCCATCCATCCATCCATCCATCCATCTATCTATCTATCTATCTATCTAAAACATTTGTATCCCGTCCTGCATGAGAAAAATGTCCCAGGATGGCTTACAATATTACAACGATTAAAACAACAACAAATAGCAAGAGTTGTAGCAATAAGTAACAGCAAATGACCACCATAAACAGCAAAACATGATACCGTTAAAAATCCAAATCACATTCTGTTTGGAGAGAGAGAACGGAGGTAGTCTGGTCTCCATGAAGGAACCACGGGCTGCCTGTTCAGATCTCCTGCTTCTCGGGAGCCCTGGCTTATCCTTGCTTTTTAATGGGTCGCATGGCCTGTCACCTAACCATTCCCAATCAATCCACCTTTGCAAAGCTGGCTAGTTTAACAGTGGGTTTCTTTCAGGGAGAGTGTCCAGTGCAGAAAATGCACAGAATATTATTGCAGGTTGTAAGTGTGGCTTTCAACAAGACAAAGTGGCTGACCTGTCAGAAAACTGCTTGAGTAGTGAGCAGGCCGCGTGGTTCGTGCAGGTGAAAGTCCGTTCGCAACCCGGATGGAGAGTTGCATGGCACCGGTGTTTCTAACAGCGCGCAGCAGCCTGTGAGAAGGGCTTACTCATCCACTGTGAAACCGTTGGCTAATGGGCAAGTCTTCAAGCACCGGAGCCTTATTTATATAGATAACTTCGGATTAGTCAGAGGAGCAGAGGAGCCTCCTGGTTTTATTGTCCTTCCAAAAAAGGAGGTGAACCTGTTCTCATCCCCTCAGAGATTAGAGTGTTTCCTAATTAGATTCTTGGCTGGGCTGGCTTTCTTTTCAGGACAGGTCTTTGCAGGTTGCACTAAATTTAGCATTCTGCTTTTCTTTGTTTCACAAGCAGAGGAGAGATGTTGGCCCTGCAGCTTCAGGGGCCACCCTAACAAATACTTTGTAGGATTTTATGGAAGCCGCACGGGACTCTGAATAATAAGCAATACTGCCCCCCTGAATGACTATTAATGTTTGCTGATATAGTTTTGTGCAACTGGCACAAAATGAGGACCGTAGAAGCCATTGCAAAATTACGCTGCTGCTGGCGGTGGTCTTCTCTGGAGAGAAATGAGCCGCGTGGCGCCGTGGTCGGAGTGCTGGGCCAGAGCTCAGGAGAACCTGCTTCCGCCCCAGGCAGCTCACAGGGAGACTTCCATCCCCAACCTCACTGACCTTATAGGGTTGTTGTGGGGATAAAATAAAGAGCAGGTTCTATAAGCTGCTTGGGTTCTTTGCAGGAGAAATGTGGGATAGAAATATAATCAATAAGCAATGCTTGTCATGGCAAATGCTAATCACAATTTTCAATATGCAGTACGTTTTGAAGCCTTTTGTACTTGGTCTTGCAAGGTGCTGCTACTTGCCTTGAAGTCATTTCTGACTCGTGGCCGCCCTATGAATGCATGCCCTCCAAAACACCCCATCCTTGACCGCCCTGCTCAGCTTTTGTAAGTTTTAGGGCTGTGGATTTCTTTATGGATTCAGCCCATCTCCTATTTGAGTTTTGCAAGTATTCTATGAGAAAAAAATAGATTTGTCTGAGAGAAGTTGACCTACCTAAGGGAAACCTTGTCTTCTAATGCATCATCCTATTTTCTCTGTTTCCAAGCATCTTTAAAAATGCTTCTGGTCCCAAGTCATACAAAAATAGCTCTGGTGACATGACCACCTGCTGCTCTGGCCCTGGCAGTGAGGCACTGCGAGCAGGATGGGGCAGAGAACTTCCTTATTTTAAGTGACTGCTTTGTTGCTTGCTTCTTGGAAGTTTGTGTAGGCCCCAGCCAGGAAATATCCATACAAAATGGAGGAAACGAGGAGAAAATAAACACATGGAAAGGGAAGGGAAGTGAAAGAAAAGACAGCATGAAGGGTGGTGGGTTAAAAATGAGCCAAACAAAGGGAGGGAGGGAGGGAAGGAAGGAAGGAAGGTGAAACGAAGGAAGACAATAAAGTAGAGCAGACTGTATGCTGGTCGAGTGCCAGGCGTGTTTGGGGCAACGTGGCGGGCAGAGGCAGGCAGGCCTCAGGTTCGATCAGATGAAGAGTGGACTTCCAGCCCTCCTCCTCGCACGGGGACATCTGCTCCTGAGAGACCCGGAACCTTCTGGAACAGAAGGCTGTTTTCCAAAGCCTGGGAAGCTGTGTGGGGGTGCGGGAGACTACCTCGGGATCCCCACATGTCCCGAAAAGCTCCCCCATGTGGCCCTAGGTTTGGCCCTCCCTCCCAGCACAGAGTAATGCTCATTCTTGCATTGTGACCCATTGCTTCTCACCTGGGCACCTTGATTTCTTTTCTTGCTGGAGTTTATGTAGATAATACATTGTTCGTGAAAACAGCAGGGCTTCTAACTGGCTCTCACCATTTCCTATTTTTCAGAATTTCCTAGAGTGTGAAGGAATTATCTGGTAACCCAGAGCACAAGGGATCTCGAAACGCACCACACTGCTTGACTCGACCAAAAGGGCCAGTGCTGCCTCGTGCATCGGAACTGTTTCTTCCGACGCCAGGAGCCAAAGTGAGAATCGCCGTTTAGATTAATCCTTTAGATGTACAGCAAAGCCCTGTCCAGCAAGGGTGATCCACTCTCTAGTGTTGTGAGGTGGCAATTTGAAATCGAACCAGACAGTTTAGGATTAATCCACTTGATTAAAATAAATAACTTTTCTTCCAGTTATTTATTTTTATGGGAACTTCAGAATGCCATATCCTTACCCATGGATTATGTGTACATCTCTCTCGTCATGAAGTCCTTCCAGATGCTGCTTGGACAGGCAGTGAAAAAGATAAGGGCCATCACATTCTTAATGATTTTAGTATTTTCTGATTTTATTGTTAAGGATGTTTCAGCTTTTGTTTTTTTATTATGACAGTGTATTCATTTTCTGCTGTGTTTTTAGCTATTTCCATCTGAATTTTGTCTTACCAGCTCTCGGACTCAGGGGCGATTTATAAAGAGGTCAGGTAGAGAAATTATAATTTTGGCAGCATTGATGCTGTCTGCATTGCTAGCATGCAGAGCTGTGGCTGGACTTCCATCTCTGTTCCTTGCAGGAGGAGGTTTATGCCTCAAGCTAGCTTCCCAGACACTCCTCCTTCCAGGGACCAAAGGTGTCTGTGTCCTCATTTTGTAAGATTTCTTTCTCTCTCCAGCCAAACTAAGGAAAGGACATGGCATTGGCTGCCTTCTCTCTCCTCTCCTCTCCTCTCCTCTCCTCTCCTCTCCTCTCCTCTCCTCTCCTCTCCCCAATTTGAACAAGGGGCTAATCACCCCCTTCCCCTCCCCTCCAGGTAACCACTTTTGCATTCCCACCTGCAAGGCATCAGAGTTGAGATGAGGAATTCAGAAGAGCAGGCGGCCACGACAGTTTTACAGCGTTTGCTGCAGGAGCAGCTCCGATATGGGAACCCCAACGACAACCACAACCTTCTTGCCTTGCACCAGCAAGCCACGGGCAACGCGCCCCCTTTTGCCAGCAATGGGAGCCCCGGGGCTCCAGCGGAAGGGCTGAGTCCTCAGGACCATCAGATTGGGACCCATGTGGCCCGCCAGGAGCCCCAGGGCCAGGAGATACAAATGGACAGCAGCGTCATGGAGAAGCAGCTCTCCCCACGGCTACAGAATAGCGAGGACCTCCCGACGTACGAGGAAGCCAAAGTCCAGTCCCAGTACTTCAGAGGCCAGCAGCATGCCAGCGTCGGGGCGGCCTTTTACGTGACGGGAGTCTCCAACCAGAAGATGAGGACGGAGGGGCGCCCTACCGTCCAGCGCGTGAGCCCCGGCAAGGTTCACCAGGACGAGGGGCTGAAGGACCTGAAGCAGGGGCACGTCCGCTCCCTGAGCGAGAGGCTGATGCAGCTCTCGCTGGCCACGAGCGGCGTGAAGGCCCACGCTCCGGTCACGAGCGCGCCGCTTTCCCCGCTTTCCTCCCAGCAGACCAACGACTTCTTCAAGAACTCTGGGCAGGCCCCTCCGCAGACAAGCATGAAAGGGATGGAGCACCGGGGACCCCCTCCAGAATATCCTTACAAAAACATGTCCAGCCCACCCATGGGCTGCAAGCCGCAGGACCCCGGGCATTTCTACGGCGAACATCGCATGTCCCAGCAGGGCCGCTCTGACGGACCCGTGATGAGGTATCAGCACCCTCCCGACTACGGATCGTTCAGGTGAGCAGCGGTCCGTCGGCACAGCCCTCCTCCCTGCAGGTCCAAAGTGTCATTTGGCAAGCCTCCGCTCAGATACTGCTGAGACTGCAGCCGGTGGTGACGAGAGAGGCGGTGTGGACAGGCCTCGCCCTTTAAACAGGGAGAACTGAAGCCCTTCCAGGCCACTTCTTTCTGTTGGTGGATGGGGCTCTGAGCGGAAGCGTGTGTGTGTGTGCTGAAAATCTCAGCTTCTGCCTTATAGGTGAGGGTTAGGGGATCGTGGCTGCATTGGTCTCTTTCTCCGCATCACGACAGAAGCAAAACAGGAAGAGAAGCGATGTGTCGGGCATGTCCCTAGCCTCGGTCGATGTGCTAGTGCCACCCGTTGCTTTGCTTTGTCTTGGACTGTTGGATGACCTGGCCAGGAGTCGCTGAGCAGCCCTTTTCCCACCCCGCACAACTTAACAGGCGTAGCAGCCCGAATGCCTGGATTTTAAAAAATCTTGGCAGAATAGTTGTGTGAATGAGTGACTGCAGTTGGGTCATGAAAGGGTTTTTCAACAGTAGGAGAAAGGACTGACTTAGCATGTTTTGGGGAGCAGATTCCCTGAACCCTCTGCCACAGGCTTGCATGCCTGTGTGCTCAGGGACATTTTGCCTCTTGGTTCCTCTTGAGGGGAAAGGAGCATGTTCTTTGGAGCTGAGATACTTTTTAACTGTTCACAGGCTTGTACCCCAAGAGGCTGGGACTCCTGTGCTTCATTTAAAGCAGCTTTGCATTCGAATTTTTCTACCCTTACCTCCCTGCCACCGCAGTCCGCTTCCTATTCCCTGTGCCACAGCTGTGCCTTGCAAAATCTTTGTGCGGCATATGCCCTCACTGGGCAAGGCAGCCAGGCCGGGCCAGTGGTGGGGATGATGCGAATAGCCGTCCAGCACCCCAGCAGGTGCCAAGCCAAGCTGGGGAAGACTGCTGTTCAGCATTTTCGTTTTTTGTGTCTTTTCCTGCAGATTTGGATGTCAATATACACATGGCTTCCTTCCACCGTTTCTAGGGAGCAGAAAGTTAGAAAGCTTTCCAGCATCCTGGAAGCCACTAAAATTTAAGTTTCTGAAAACTAAGTAGGCCTTCCCTTTCAGCGTCTTAATAACCCCGCCCCCTTCCTGTTCTGAAGGCCATTGTCAATATGGCGGGACAACAGGACCTCTTAGTTCCCAATCCATAAATTGTGGGGGGAAGTGGCAGCAGCAAAGGAAGGGACAGGATTCTATTATTCCCGGATTGCAATCAATTAACACGGTTGACTTCCTATGCCAGGAGGGTATGCCAGGAGGGTATTCCGAGGCTGGACTGTTGGAGTACATGGAGCATCCCTCCGGAATGCCAAGCAGGCCCTGCTTTTCTGAAGGAATCGCGGGCATGTTTCGGCCGTCTGCTGGGAGGCTGTGCGTTGCACAAGATTCGGCTCATACGTTTTATTTATTTATCACAAAGAGATGCCCTCTTTTTCCTGCAAGGGAAATAATGTGGTTTTAATATACTTAAAGGGAACAAAGACCTTTTCTTCTGTTGTTTAACCCCTCCCTTCCCTCATTCATTGTTCAAGGGACTCTGAGGAGAAAACCAACCACTTCCCTCTTTCTAAACACAACGTTGTATTTCAAAAGAGTGCCATGTAGCGGCCCACTTTCCGTTCAGCAATTCCCCCTGCACGGCAGGGACTTCCTTTTCACCAAACCCCGTCCCTTTCGGTCTCTCTCCCACACACCCTTTGGGGGAGATTTGGGGAGCCATTTCAGAAATGTCAGTGTGTCAGGGCCCAGCCTTTTCCCCAGATCTTTAGAATTTGCCTCCGAGAGTGAGCGCAGGAGGCAGGCGTCTCGTGTCACGTCCCCCGTGTGCACGCATGCACACAAGTGAACTCACGTGCTCACAGAAGGTGAGGGTGAGGCCCCATCCCCAGCGTCCCTGAAGGTGCACGAAGAGCAGTGCTGGCAGAACTGGGGCCTCTGTGGGATGAACCGCCCTTGCCGAGGGCAATTTCACGCGTGCTTCCTGCCCCGCAGGGCCAGTGACCAGTGCGGCTTCTGCAGCGAGGCTGGTTTTGTTGTTACCAGAGGCCGATGCTCATGCGGGGTGTCTTGCTTTCGGTGTGGGTTAACATCTGCATTGGACTGCTGGGGGCGGCTTTCCAGACACCGCAGAGAGCAATTGCACGGCCTTTACGCAGACAAAGCGGGAGATGGAGTGACCCGTAAAGGGCTCTCCCTGTTTCCACGCAGTGATGGAAAGGGGTGGTGAGGCGGCTCGCTGGGGCTGCCCCGTTCTTTGCCTTCTCCTTGCCCAGATTGGGACGTCTTCGCGGGGGGGACCCTTGGAACGTGGCTTGCAGGTCACCAGGGCAGGCCAGGCCGTCTCATCCACGAAGGGTCACAGCGGGTGCTTCTGCCAAAATCGATAAAAGATGCTTTGCACCACCCCAGCGGCCTGAGCTTCCAGGATCCATGAGCACCTGCCGGCTCTTGGGGGAGCGCAGCCCCGCACAGAGCAGGAAAGTCACTTAGCCAGGCAGATGGACCACCTCTCCGGATCGAGTCCAGGCAGCCGGCCGATCAGGGCAATCTCTGCTTCCTCTGGTGAAACGGAGAGGATGAGCTGGTGCCCCTTGCAGGCAAAGGGCACTCGGTGGCGCTCGTCCAGGCCTTCCACAGCAGCGCTGGCGCCAAGTCAGTGTCCGGACCCTAGTAAAAGCGCTCGCCTTGGCCCCAAATGTGCTGGATGGCTTAGCCACCCACCTGTGGGCGCACCCGAGCGTTAGGGCAGTGGTGGAAGAGGGGTGCAGAGCCTCGGGGCCCAGGCGCTCTGGGCCGGTCCACGCGACTGAGCCGCTGGTGCGGGTTGTCATTGCAGGCAGAACCCCGACATCCAGCTGCAGCTGCAGCAGCGGCCCCACCACCACCACAGCCCCACGTCGTCGCTCACCTCCCTCGGGTCTCTGACGCTGCTGCAGTCGCTGCCGCCATCCAGGCTGTCTCCCTCCCAGCATCAGCCTCCGCTCACTCCCAGCCAGGGAGACCCCTTCTCACTGCCCCGGCCCCAGCCGCTCTTCCTGTCCGGCCAGATCCACCAGGGAGACCTTTACCGCCTGTGCCAGCCGGTCATTGGCCAGCAGCAGCACCCGCAGGGGGACTCGTACTCGGCACTGCCCAGGCCTCCGCCGCCGCCGTCTCCTTACCAGCAGATGCCAGTGGACCCTTTCGTCATCGTCTCCAGAGCCCAGCAGATGGTGGAGATCCTGTCCGAAGAGAACAGGTCTTTGCGGCAGGAGCTGGATGGCTGCTACGAGAAGGTGGCCAGGCTGCAGAAGGTACGTCTGCCCCGGGTCCCCCTCTCCCTCTGGGTCGCACGGGAGGGACCTGTGCCGGCTTCCCCGGGGAAGCGCCGAGGCTGTCTGCTCGCAGCTTCGGCGGGCAGCTGGGGCGTCCCTTGTGCTACGCCTGCTTCCGAGCTGTGTGGCTCCGGGCACCGGGCCTCCAGGGAGGCTGTCCATGCAGAAGGTCCCAAGAGAGACTGAGGGAGCCTGAAGCCCTGAGGGGAGCTGCCAGTCAGTGCAGCCTGTATGGATCCAGCGTTTGCCAAGTTACACAGCACGGATTTCTTCTCTTTCCCTTGCTGTAGCTGGAAACGGAAATTCAGCAGGTTTCAGAGGCGTATAAAAACCTCGAGAGGTCTTCCTCAAAGCGGGAAGCCCTGGAAAAGGCTATGAGAAACAAGCTGGAAGGCGAAATCCGCAGGCTTCATGACTTCAACCGGGACCTCAGAGGTAGATCGACTCTATACCTACATGTGGAAAGCCAAGGATTGAGGAATGCACTCAATTAAGATGGATGACATGACACAAAGCTCCTTTGCATTGCATTTTTAAGTAACATAAAGTAATCTTAGTGCCTTTGCAACCGTTCTGTGCAGTAACTTGGATTGGAAATGTTGGTTTCCCGCTCAGCTGCAGAACTCACGGCATGGCAGTAACATCTCTCTTCAGTTCATTTGCATGCTCATCTTTTTATTACATGGATATCTTGCCTTTTCTCCTCTTGGAAGGAGCCCAGAACAGGGTGCTGAAGCACCACCTCACAACGGCACTCCTGGGAAGTCGGTTAGGCTGAGGGGCAGTGAGGTGCCCAAAGACGCCCAATGAGCATCATTCCGCCATTGGAGAGTGCGGAAAATCTTGTCTTTGCTTTGTGTCTCAAGGAGCGCTCAGGATATTGCCTCTTGTGTGTCAGTAACAAGGAGGAACAACTGACTGTTGTAAACCTGCCTCTTCTCTTTTTGCAGAACGTATGGACACAGCTAACAAACAGCTGGCAGAGAAAGAATTTGAAGGCTCCGAGGATAACAGGAAAACCATCTCCCAGCTCTTTGCACAAAGTGAGTCCCACTTTCTATTGAGTGCTTAAATCCTCCGGTGCAAAGGCTGCAGTTGAGAGCGGGAGCCAATGTGGGCTTGCGTGAGGTTATCAGTATGCGGAATTGGCAAGGGCAAGAAGAGGGGCCAGGGCTGAATACTAAGCAGTTTCTCATACTGAGAACAGCTTCTCCTCTGTGCAGAAGCGGTCCCCTCTTCCCTTGGGATGTAGGATCTTGTTAAAGCCATTGTTGGACACTTTCTGTTCCATTGCCCACTGGGATCCGATCTTTTTGAAGAATGTCATTTCGGCTTGCAAATGCCCATTTGCACAAATCCCACTCTCCCCCCGCCACACACAAAAGAAGCAACAGATGAGTCCACAAGTCTGAGAAAAAGCCGCCCACTGCAAAATCTGCAGGTCACATTCGCAGAAATCCAAACTCGCTTGGACCTTTTGTGGATTTCTCTGACCTGCCCTTGTGTGCAAACCTCCAGCAGCATTCAGGAGACTCGAGGATAGCAGAGATCGAAGACCGGGGCAGCCAATGGCCGCTGGAGCCACACATTTCTGCTCCGAGTCATGGAACGTGTGAAATGGCTCGGCTGCACAGTCCAGGACGGTGATTGACGCCAACTGCCTAGGCCAGGAGCCGGGGCTCTCAGGCACCGGGAGTGTTCCCAGTTCTTTAAGAGCATTATAGTCCAGCCACAAGCCATCTAGGGAGCAAGGCCACATGGCTTGCTTACTGTGCACATGGCCAGAGCTCTCCAAGCATGCCTTGCTGACGGCTGCTTCGGCCTTGAGGTTCCGTTCCGACTCTGGGCGTAGCCTCATGGACGAAGCTCGGACCAGTGGAGGGAAGGGAGGAAGTGCCGAGGGTTTGTACCCACGTGGGCTCACCTGCCCCCTCTCGGCTTGCCCACCTCCCTTCCGCCTCTAGCCTTTTGCTTCCTCACAAGCTACAAAAGCGCCATGAGGAAGAACTTTCCCCTTTCCGAGCCGATCAGGAAGGACTGGTGCTCTGCTGCTGCTTTGCCACAGTGTGTGGAAATAGTCTTAGGTTGTGACCCTTGCCCAGAGAAGCAGACTGACTGCGGAGACGAAAATTACGGGTGTGTAAATGCTGCCTTTCCCCGAGGCGGAACCATCTGGGGACTTCCCATGGCAAGGGTGACTCACCGTCCTGGAAGGTCCTCTCCGCAGACGGCACTTAATGTGCTGCTGTTACAGTGAGAACGCCCCACGGCTGCAAACGGAGAACCGCTGGCCCCTTGTAGAGTGAGGGTCCCCAGCCTGTTTTAGGCGGTGGGAATCTTTGGACTTTGACAGGGTCTCTCCAGTTAGGCTTCTGGGAATTGATTGTTCTACAGCTGGTCATGCCCAGAATGACAGCCATTTTACGAATGTCCCCATGGCAGCCATATTGTAAAGGGCAGATTTGCACATCGGGGTGGCCCATTTCGGTCGATCACCACAAGTGCCTCACGATTGGCTGGGCTGATCACTGCAGCTTTGCTCCCTCCCCACAGTTCCTTCCCTCTTGTTCCTCCGGGCGGTGTCTGAGGAGACTCTGCAGGGAGGAAGGAGAAGCCCTCCTCTGACAGCCACGATCCTGAGCCAAGCTCAGTTCGCTGCACAGGCGGGGCTCACGCCCAAAAGCACGGCCCAGCGGACTGGGGGTGGGGGGGCAGCCAGGCACCACCTGGGCAGTGCCACGCAGTGCGTGATGGAGAGACGGGAAGCCCTGCTGGGAAGACTTCATCCTGTAGACGCCCCCAGTTCCCCTTAAGGATTTCTCTTTCCTTTGCACTTCATTTGGGCAGACAAAGAAACACAGAGGGAGAAGGAGAAACTGGAGATAGAGTTGGCCGGCCTTCGCTCCACCAATGAGGAGCAGCGCAGGCACATCGAGATTCGCGACCAGGCCTTGAACAACGCGCAGGCCAAGGTGGTGAAACTGGAGGAAGAGGTACGGGGGATAAATTTAAGAGGGATAAATGTGTACTCAGTCCAGCTGCTGCCCCTGTTGCTTCTTTAAATAGTGCGAGGAGTTCAGGGCTTCCACTGCCCTGAAAAAGGTGTTTTTTGCAAGGAGTCTCAGATCTGCAAAGTTTCTTCTGAGTGGGATGGTGTGACTTGGTGTCCTGCAACAGCAGGGGTCGGACCCGATGGCCTTCATGGCCCCTTCAACTCTACCACTCCATGATTCTACTTTCATTTTTACAAGGACCAGGCTAATCCACACTTGCAGACTGATTGACCAGTTTTAACAAAGAGTGGGACTCAGGACAGCCTGCACAGTAGGTTGAAATTGACTAAAACAATGCATGAAAAGCATAACAATTTCAGGGAAAACCAGGTATTAAAAACAGCATCCAGCCAGCACCGTAGCTTGTTGCCCCCTGCACGGTCAACCCAACACCAGGCCCAACCGAAGAGCCTCGGGACTGCCCGGGCACCCTTGCACACGGTCATGTGCACGAGAGTGGCCCTTTGGCTTTTTGTCTGCTTCAGGATCACGTTACCCAGCTGTGCCCTTCCTGGTTCCAGGGAAGACAGTAAAACGCCTCCCATTGCCAGAGAAAACTTTAGCGTTTTGCAGGGAGAAATGGCTCTTTGCAGAGCCGAGCTCCTGTTTGTAAACAGCTGGTGTTTGCATCCATGGACGAAGCAGCTGGAGGCTAATAACTAATGGATCATCTTGCATTGGCATGGGATGGAATCCTGCTCACGGTTGCTTTAAAAACAAAATATTTTGAAGAGGAAAACCTCCACAGCTTTCATCCCAAGTAGGCAAGATGCCATCAACTCTAGCAGATGGTCCTTTTATTTAGCCAGGTTTCAGTTGCTTTGGAAGTTGCTGTTTCTCCTTCTGCCTGCAGATAAACCTGAAAGCCTTGCTGTGATCGAGCCGCAGTTAAACTCTCAGGATCTTCATTGTAAACAAAAGGAATAGAGAGGGGAGGAAAAACAGCCCACACAAGTCTCTCTGGCCACTTCTCCTTAAACAGTCACTTAGCGTGGAGAAACAGAATGCAGAGAGGAACTTTTCGGCCTGTCCTCTCACTCTATTTTTCCAAAGCACTACAATGTGAAAAGAGCTGGAGTTCTAAAAGAAGGATATTTCAAAATCAGGACTATGATTTGAGTAGTGATCGGGTATCAAGCCATCTTAGACAGTTTGGTGAAATCCTTTGCATGCTTCATCTGGATTTCAGAGCCCGTAATTGTAAAGAATTTCCAAGTTAGTTCTGCAACCCGGGGGTGGGGGGGATTTAGCTGAGGAGTTTTTTGGCACATGCGGCATCTTGAGGCCTGTGGATGTTTGCTTGCTTGCATCCTGTAGTGCGGTTTTTTCTTTCCCTCTTGGCTCTCTTCTGCTTGCTTAATCTTTTCCAGACTCTTTCCAGACTCCGAGATTGGGCCTAGCATTGTTTAGCAATCAAAGACTATATTGAGGAAAGAACAGTTAGACCACTGGGTTTGCTTCGGGACTCAGTGGCCGACACGGGTCTGTTGCGTGGGCATCCTGCTTTGTGCCCAAACAACCAATTGGAGGGCAACGTGACAGAGAGGAGCTGGACGTGCTCCTCGCAGGGAGACCTTAGTGTTTGTGCATGTGGGCAGGGGAGCTTCCTAAGGTGCCCAGCTCTCCGTTCTCTGCCCTTCCTTTCTTCCACGAGAAGTAACAGGGCATTTGGGGGGGGGGGGTGGACTGGAGCAGCTGCTTGTGCAATGGATGGTAGGTGGCCTCGAATAAACTGCACCGTGTCTTTGTACCATATTTTAGGACATTGTGGCCGCTGTTCGTCCCAATAGAGTTAGGAGTATACGCTGCATGGATGCAGTGAATAGGAGCGAGCGCATCAGGCCCTGAAAGCAGTGCCACAATTCACGGTTGCCCTTTGATTAAGTGGCACATGGTTTGACCCCCCCCCCCATTTCGTATTGGCACCTCGTAGTGGGATCAGACCTCTTGCCCCACTTCCAAAGAACAGACCTGGTGCTACATGCTGTATGTATGATTCCAGCTGTTCTTCCGCAGAAGGCCTCACAGGCTGGTGTACAAGGAGGGCGTGTCACTTGCAAGGGCTGTTCAGCTGTAGTGACACCAAAATTGCCGGGTTGTTTTTAAACTCCTTTCCCCACGTCTCCGTTTTGGTCTGCAAGTAATTTTCCAGAGGTGGCTTTTGAGGGATGAAACTTATTTCAAAAGAAGCAAGCAGAGAGGTGCTCCCTCGTAAGAGGAAAGCATCACCCAGATTGGTTTGGCACAGGTTGCTCGCAGGCACAGTGGCGCCGGGTTGGGACCAGATTCACGTGGATGTTCACAGGCAGCTCATCGGAGCAAAATTAGGTCTGCTGCACAGCGAGGCGGCCAGTCTGAACACGCATTCCTTTGGCAGATCAGTCCCATTGGTTGAGCTAAGGACGCTTTGGCTGATTTGAATGGTGTCCCCTGATCAATAGGACAGCTGTGTTAAGGGCAAGCGAAGCCACTCGGGAAGGCCTGCTTGGGGATGGGCGTGGGGTTCTCGGCGGCTCCTGCCCCACCACCCATTTTCTTGGCTTGCGGACCTTGCAGGATGTTCACCAGCGAGATCCAGGCCCTTGTCGAGGGCCCGTAGCCTGGCCCGGGGGGCCCGCCAATTTATTTATCGCATTGGTATGCCGCCCCATAGCCGGGGGGAGCTGCTGCGTCCTTTCCCCCGCGCAGCGCGCTTCTGCCCGCTGGGTGTTCTGCTCCGGGCAGAAGTGGCGGAGAGCAGGCGGTGGAGGGGACGCCCCGGCCGGCGTGGGCAGGCGGCAGCAGGAGGAGGGCTGCTCTTCCCGCGGGAAGAGCGTGAGAGGAGGGAAGACGGTCACGGCTGCTGCTGACGTTTCCCACACAGTATTCATCGCCACCGCTGCTGATGCAGAACAGGCCTTGTCCTCATCCCCATCTCCATGGGGCATTCAGACATTTGGGGAAGGGGAGGAACCTCTCGCGGTGAACGAAAAATGTGCTTCATCGGTGCAGCTTCTCTTCCCCGCTAGCCAAACACATGTTGGCAGCCTTCAGGAAGAGCTGCTTCCAATTCCATCACCAGGCCAAGCATGCTAGGCTTTGACAACATTAATGAAACCCTTCTGCACTTGGCTGTGGCGGTCTAACGTCCCGTGTAGATGCAGTGCCTAAGTTGAACGAGAATTGGGCTGAGAAGTCCTGCATTCTGCCGACAGTTTGCCTGAGCGAGCTTGTACCAGGAGCTCCTAGGGAAACGCAGACTTGCTGTGCATCGAGAAGCGACTCTCCAACCCCCGTTTCCCTTTCTTTTAGCTGAAGAAGAAGCAGGTTTATGTTGAGAAGGTGGAAAAGATGCAGCAAGCCTTGCTTCAGCTGCAGGCCGCCTGCGAGAAGCGGGAACAGCTGGAGCACCGACTCCGCACCCGGCTGGAGAGGGAGCTGGAATCACTCCGGATGCAGCAGGTAAAGGCCGCTTCACAGGTCTGCGTGTTCTGATTCAACCAGGTTTTCTTAAGCCCCTGCAAAACCTTCTGGCTGCTCCTTTTATTCGTATTTTTTTTTGCTAAACCTAAAACCAAAGTGAAATCAGTTTTCTCTTTGGAGATGAGTAACAGAAGCCATTTTTTTGGCTGTAATATGCACTGTTTTTAAGGTAGTTTGTGGTACAGTGAGATGCATCAAATCCGTAACATCACAGTTACGGTTTGGTCCACTGCTTGGGCCAAACGGCTCTCAGCCCACAGTGAAATGTGTGCGAGAATTCTTCTTCTCACGAGATTAAAATCTTTCTGGCCAAGTGAGGACGGACCACAACCAACACTTTCTTGCACAGCCTCTCGGGGCCTGCCAAACAGCCGACTGCGGGCCATGTGGATTGATTGGACTTCATTTTCCAAAAGGGCACAAGGCCAGCGGGTGCGATCGCTTGTGTTTCCCTGATAAAAGCCTGGTCCTGGTCGGTTACCGGCTTGTTTCGTGCCTTTCCTCCTCAGCGCCAGGGGACGTCCCAGCCAGCCAACGTCTCGGAGTGCAACGCCACCGCGCTGATGGAGCTCTTGCGGGAGAAGGAGGAGAGGATTCTCGCCCTGGAAGCGGACATGACGAAGTGGGAGCAGAAATACCTGGAGGAGAGCGTGATGCGGCAGTTTGCCTTGGATGCGGCAGCCACGGTGGCAGCCCAGAGGTAACGGTGGTGCCACAAGGGTGGGGGGGGACCATTTCCTTATGCCCCCCCGCAGCACCTCCTCCGGTTACACACTGGCATCGTTTGGGCTCTTCCCGTTTCCTCGTGCAACGGACGTGGCTTCTGCTTCGATTTGTGTGGTCCGGAGCTGGCAGGAAAGGAGAGGGACGTGGCTGACGGTGCCCAGAGCCGCAGACGGCAGCAGGAGCTCCTCAGGGCGGCGGAGCCTCACGCCCGTCTCTCTCCGTGGCTTGAGCTGGGGGAGCTTGGGCTGCGCCTGGGTGGGCGCGAGTGTGGATCCACTGCCTCGGCAGGCACCGCGTGGGCAGCATGGCCGGGCCCCGCTGAGCCCCTCTCCGCCCGTTCCCAGGGACACCACGGTGATCAGCCACTCCCCCAATGCCAGCTACGACACCTCCCTGGAGGCTCGCATCCAGAAGGAAGAGGAGGAGATCCTGATGGCGAACAGGCGGTGCCTCGACATGGAGGGCAGGTAAGCACAGGTGGGCCTCCCGTGCTGCCTGGCTCAGGCGTGGTCTTGGCACCCGCAGCTCTGCCCAGGCCAGTAAGGGAAGGGCTGCTCACTCACGCTTTCCCTGCTTGGATGTCACGCTCACAGGCTGCACACTGGGGCACGAGGGCTTCCGTGCCCCGGGAGTCCTCCTTTCTCCTTGACCCACCATAGCATATACCGGCGGAGCGGCTCGTCCTCTGGCCAGCACCTTTCCTGGGCACTCCAGAGCCGGCCCCCAAGTTGTGTGAACAGTATGCTCTCAGGAGTTCTGCGGAAGGGCAGCATCGGAGGGAGTCTCTCTCTGTCGCCCTTTTAGGCTAGAAAGCTCGCCCTGTGGATGCTTGTCCACGTCTGCAGCTGGCCGCAGTTGAGGATCGCTGTGCCTGCCTGCCGCCTTCCTCCAGTTCGGGAAGAGCGGCCCAGTGAGGGGAAACGCAGGGCCCTTGACACAGAGAAGCGTTCTTTTGCCCCCTCTTAGGATCAAGACCCTCCACGCTCAGATCATCGAGAAGGACGCCATGATTAAAGTTCTCCAGCAGCGATCCCGGAAGGAGGCTAGCAAGACGGACCAGCTGTCTTCCATGAGACCGGCCAAGTCCCTCATGTCGATCTCCAACGCGGGCTCGGGCCTGCTCCCCCACTCGGCCACCCTGAGCAGCACCCCCATCCTGGAGGAGAAGAGAGACGACAAGAGCTGGAAGGGCAGCTTAGGTGATGCATTTAAGGGTCGTAAATCGGGCTGGAGCAGGGAGCTTGTGCCCGAGTCAAAGTGCAGTCTTGGCCATGTCACGGCAGCTGGTGGTGTAGCTGAGTGCAAGTCTGTATTTTGAAAAAGCCCACCTTTCCCTGGAGGGGTCACCAGGGCAGTAAGAGGAGAGGTTGATCTCTGCTTTGAGGATCTGGCTAATCACGTTCAGCCTTTGGGTTAGGTGAATGGGCCAAGAGAAGCCCTTCTGTCAGGAAATCCTACTCCTGATGCCCCTAAAAGACGTAGAAATCCAGATAAGGCATTGGAAGGGCTGGAGACCCGGTCCCCCTCGCAGCTCCTACCAGAAGCAGGATGAGAAAGGAATTGCTTCTTGCAGGTGTCCTTCTGGGCGCAGAGGGCCGCTCCGAGTCCATCCCTTCGACCCCCTCGCCAGTCCTCCCCTCCACTCCCCTGCTGTCATCGCACTCCAAGACAGGAAGCCGGGACTGCAGCACACAGACGGACCGGGGAGGCGAGCAGAACAAGGGGCCCGCCTCCTCCGCTACGCCTCCCGTGCAGGCGAGGCTCCCTGCCATGAACCTGGCCCACGGCACGGACAGAGCAGGTAACGCAGCATCCCTCTTGGCAGCCGACGGCGGGGTTGGGGGACGGGGGTGCGCAGTGGAGTCCTGGGCTGCTCGGGCCCTCTTCACGCTGCCACTGCTGGGGGCGGGTCGTCCTGATGCCGGCTAGGCTGCTTCCGGCAGGAAGGTAGGGCGTGCCACACTTACGGGGCCCGGGACTAGTTCTTGCCCAGCTCCTGAGGAAATGGTGATGCTGGAACTGAACTGGAAGATGCTTTGTTCAGGAATGGCCACCTTAAGGTGCTTTCTCAGATAGGGCCTCCCGCCTGCCCTTTTATACACTTGCAAATGACCACCTAATTAGGCCTGCCTTTAAAAATCAAATCCAAAAGTTCATCTGTTATTCCAAACAATTAAATCCATTGAAGGCCATAACCATCAGTTGTAGGCACTTTGCCAGCTAGACACTGAAATGGAAAAGCCGCCGCTTTGTCAGCCGCTGAATTGCCCTGTTTTCGTTTCTTTTCCTTCTCTTGCTTATAGATGGCCCAGTTTTCCATTCCAGCACTCTAGAAAGAAAAAACCCAGCTCAAAACTTGGGGCAGGACCTCAATGATGGTGAAATGGTGGAGTATCTCATCTGAAGAAATGGAAAGCTCGAGTCGAATAACAAGAATCCCCCCCAAACTTTTTTTAAAATAGCGATTTATAGTAACTGAAGCATAAAGGAATCTACAGCTTTTGGCTGTTTGTATATACTTTCCTCTCAAAGGTATGGACAAGTTAACTTATAATTTGTTCCAGAATCATGGAAGGAACAGTCCAAGGCCCTCTGGACAGTGTCTGATGGGCCATAGGACACGGCGGGTTTCCAGCTCTCCGGTGGGAGATGGCGCTCCAGCCTTGGAGCTGGGAATCCTTGCTCCAGCCGCCAACCCCGTGCAGCTGGAGGCGAAGGGGTGCACCAGCGGCTCCCAGTGTCAGGAATGCAGCCTCGAAAGGGGTAGAAGGAGGCGTTTCGATGAGGAGAGGAAGGATGAGACAGGAGGGGCCGGGATAACACGGGCTATCCTGAAGCCTCTCTCCCTTCCTTCCCCTTCTGCAGTGCATTCCTGTGCCAGGCAGAAGAGCCCCTCTGGCAAAAAAGCGGGGAGGCAAAGACCGCTTCCGCTTTGGGGGTGTCCCCTCCCCCAGCATAGGATGCTGGGTAGCCTCCAAACCCAAAACCCTAAAGTAGTTTTCTAAGATTCTTTCCCCCACCTTTTTAAAAAAAATACTGGATCTGGTAGCATCTGGATAAAATTAAACCTTGTCTTAAATGCACTACATTTTTAAAATGTCAGTATTTTTAAAACCTTGTATTTAAGAAAAGACGGATCCTTGTTTGGGTGTCTGATGCCCATGATGCCTTCACAAAGCCTGTGAGCTCCAGGTGTCACAGTTCCCAGACACCGTCATGGTGCTGTCACTGCCGGGTGTCTCTTGGGATGCTGAATGTTCAGGTATTCCAGGCCATCTTTGTATGAACCTCCAAGTGACGGAAGGAAACGCATAGTCTTTACTTCCTCGTGCGAGTGTCCATTTTCACAAAACATTCCAAGACTGGGGGGAAAAAGTTGATTTCCACAGCGTGCCTCCACTCAGAAATCTGTATTTCTTTGTCTCCTCGTTTGCATCATTTTGTCCTCCTGTTTGATGTCCTGAGATGAAAGGGGCCTTTGCCACATGCCAGAGGGCTCTGTGGCCTTGCAGTTGGATCGTGAAGAATGTCCTCCGTTCAGGGTTTCTGCAAACAAGCCATTTTACTTGCTGCTCCGTTCCGTTCCCTTCCCACCACGCCGCCGAGCTGGTGCGGCTGCAGTCACTCGTGCTCTGTAGGGCAGCAAGACATCGGCTGAAGGAAGAAAGGCGGCCTTGGAATGCTTGACTAAGCAATGTCTGATCCTTCAGGGGCTGGAGTTTTTTCTACATGGTATTTTCCTCTTTTTCCAAACACTTTGTTTGACTATAGTTTCCTCATTCCAGAAGGCAGGAGCTTTTTTCACTGAACGATTTTATATTATGATGTAAAAATTTAGTGCCTTACTCAATAGCTATACTGGGGCCAATTTTTTATGAAATAAAGAAATGCTGTCCATTGAAAACCTTAGATTTCCCCAAAATGCTCCTTTCTGTGCACAAATTTATAAAGAATATTCGATTCACACTTCAGGAATGCAGCTAACCTTAGTCTCCCCACCCCCTCCTGGCTTAGCCTGTAACTTTCATTTTCCTGTTTCTTGCAAGTTGCCATAAATCTGGCAGCACTGAGATAACCAACACGGCAAGAATTAACTCCTATCTTGTTGTGGAGAAATGCTGTCGAGACCACGGAGGTCACACAAAGATTTTAACCACAACGGAACAGGCAGATGTGCGCAGAGCGGTTCTCAACACAAGCACAGAAACTTTTCAGAATGAAGGCGGTATTTGTATCTCATGTCTCTAACAACGGCTTGAGCAGATCAGTTCCTTCTTGCGAAGCAATAGGCCAGCCAGGCATTGTGGACTGCAGGAAGCAAATGGGAGGAGAGCCCCCACCAGCCCCCTGGGTGCCTCCTCGAGCAACGAGGTATGTGGGGCCCAATGGTCATGTGCGCTCAGTTGAAGGTGAGCAGAGCGGCCACTTGTTGGGAAACAGCGTTGGGGCTCCCCTTCCATCCCATGGATCCCGCCCCCACATTCTGCAGCTCAGAACGCCTCCCTCCCAACCTGTTGCCCATGGATGTTTTTATGCAGCCCGGGCCAGGCTGGGGCTGATAGGAGTCCAAGTACCAAACATCTGAAGAGCACCTGCTTGGCCAACACTGTGCTAGAACGCATGCACAACTCAGAAACCAGCCAGATTTTGCTCCTCAAGAGCCAGAGAGGGGATTTTGGAACAAGCTTACTGTGAATTATCTTCACACTTCCAAGGTCGTGTCCTTCAGGGACTTGTCTTTTCAGCAGAGCTGATGCTTTTTGTCCATGCGCCTCCCCTGCGTCGGGTTTTGCGCTTTTGCGAAGCGACCCTGGCGAGGGGCGCACGCGAGTGTCGAGCCCATCGCATCCGAAGCTGCCGTCAGCATCATACAAAAAGATCTCAACCACTGTGAACACGAAGAATTCGTTGTGTCCTGCAGTGCCTTCTAAGCTTCTGGATCTCTTTAGTCGAAATAATCAAGTAACTGCAACGCATGAATGTGAGGGCATATGTACCCCCAAAGTGTGCTGCAGGTTCCTCGAAACTGCAATGCCGGATTGGAGTGGGGGAGAGGCCCCAGTGAAGAAATACCAGCGTAGCTTCTGAGATATACATGATTCATGGAATCTTCTCTCCCCTGGGGATGAGCCGAAGTATAAGCTGAAGCTCCTTTTGAAAAAAAATCAAACTGCACACCTTCTTCCATAAACCTTCACTGTACTGGAAAGGAAACAAGACAATATAAAATTGTCATAATCTTTGAGTTTGTGCTCAAACCAGACTAAGAGTTTTTACACAAACTCGGGTAATAGAAGCAATGCTGTAGATGCTGCAAAGGATACTATAGAGTTCTTTTCCAGCAGCGAATCCGGCCTTCCTCTTCGGGAACGGCCCCACGTGAGCGGCCGGTTCAGGAAACTTTGTAGGGGGAGATGCCGACATTTTGTTTGCATCCTCTTGGAACTGGGTAGGTTGCCTCACTCCGCTTGGTGCCTCATGTATTTCTTCTTTTGTCCTTGTATAGGAACGTGTGTGTTTTTATGTCTAGAATGTAAGCCTCATGATAATTGTAACTGTACTGTATTTATGAAAAAAATACATCTCTTTCAGAAAAAGCTTGTGCCACACCGGTCCCAGTGTCCTTCTTTTCCAGTAGCCACTGAAGCGTTCGGGCGGGAACCGTGGGGACCTCTGTTCCACGCCGCTGGTCACCTTCACAAGGCCGGGGCACTGTCCTTTTCCCAGCGGAGGTGGCCTCTTCTGTTCTGAAAGGGCTGCCTTGCTTTAAGCACAACCGGAATCGCATGTGGGGTCACCGCAACTCGGCATCAGGAAAACCTTTCTGCTGTTGCGTTTCTGACTCCTGGGTGAAGAGTGGGGGCGAGGCGAGGGTAGCCGGGCCTGTGTTCCTTGTGGCCAAGACACAGCTGGGCAACCTGGCTTGCGTGCGTGCCAGCAGGGAGCACTGCAAAAGCTGGCAGCGCCGTCTCTTCTGCTCTTCCCCTCGAGTCCGGTGGTGCCCTTCTCTTCCAGCTGCTTGAGCAAGCAGGGTTGCATCAGCAGGCCACCCGGGAGGATGGGCGAGTGGAAGCTGGGCAGGAGAGCGATTCAGGATCACTAGCGCAGCAGCTCACCTTGTCGCCAGCTGGTTCCTGTCCTTGCAGTGAGAGAATGCCAGCAACTGGCCTGTTTGTCCCGAGCTTAGCATTTGCACTGAGGTGATGCACGATTGCTACAGGAGAGCAGGAATACAAGAATTTCTTTTGAATAGTGCCAAAAAAACCCTAAGCGAGCTAAGATCCCTTCCGATCAGAAATGATGAAACTGAACTGGCATGTGTGCCGATTGGTAAGAATCAATAATTTAATAAGATACGATAACATTTATAGAGCTGAAGGCACATCCTTGAGTAAAACTATATCCAGCACTTGCAAAATGTTTTGTATTAGAAACTAATATTGCACAGTGTCGTGAAAACAAATTAGGAGAGAATCCATATGGCTGAACATTCTGCTTGTCAGACTAGAGAAACGCATTCTTAAAAGCCAGAAGCTCACAGTGATGAAACGTTTCTCGCTTCTTTAAAAATGAAATGGTTTCTTACGGGAGGCAGGGAAGAACGATTCCCCTGACCTGGCAAATCTGTTCTGTGGGCTCAGACAAAACATTTGGAAGGCCTCGGAAACCTGAAGTGGGCATGTGAGCAGCACAACAACAAGCCAACAAGCCAGACTTGGCTGTAGCGGATTTTTGCCCTGCAACACGTCGGGCAGCTGTGAGGGGGCTTCGGAAGTCCAAGCTGGAGGATCCTTGGCTCCAACTGATTTAAATGCCTATTCTCTTCTTTCCCTAAAGACAACAGGAAAACCTTATGCAAGCCTGAACCAACAGTCCAGTTATGGATGCAGACACAGAGAGGGCTCAGGGGACACCCTGTGGCTCGTCAAGTTACTAAACCTGTGACCAGGCGTGACACCCGCGAAGGCAAGTGTGGGTTGCGCGAGGACGGAGCAACCCTTGCACAGTCCTGAAGCAGCCCGCGAGCTGCGCAAGGGGTCCTAGACCCTCACCCGGTCTGCAAAACAGGCAACCTCAGCCTGGGGGTTAGAGATGCAAAATGAGGCCACACGACGGGCTGCAGAAGCACCCTCGCCTTGCTTTCCTTAGCGGCCTGGAGTGGGGACACTCCGGCCTCAATCCGGAATGGGGAGCTCCTGCGTCCATCTCAACCTGGCCAACAGCCAGCAGGCACGGACTCGGAGTTCCAGCGCCATCCGGAAGGCCGCGGGGTCCCCGGCCCCGGCTGGATGGACTTCCTTCCGGCTCAACCATCACGCATTCCCAGCAGGATGCCCAGAGGCTGGAAATAGCAGTGCTGGGAGCCACCAGCCCCCGAAGCAGCCTTTCAATGCTTCGACCCGAAGTTGTACAAACCTCTGCACATACATTTTGGCTTTGATAGTTTAAACAATCTGGAAAACAGAAGTCTTACATGAATCTAACTGGGGGAATGGAAAAAATAAATACAATCCAATGTAATGCATAGTTTTTCTGGAGATTTTAAAGCCATTTTAACTTATTAAACGATATTAACTTAAAACTCTTGATAATGAACTGCTCAAGACACAAAGCAAACCAGTTTACAGGAGAGTGTTCACACTTCGTAAGCGCTGTACATTCAAGACAGAAAAGCCATTTTGGTTCTTCAAATTAAAGCTGAGTATAAAATATAATTCACAGGGTATCAAGAGTCAGCAAATCACATCTACTTGGCAGAGGGATGGCAGGGGTGGCACATGGGGGAGAAAGGATTTTCTGCAATAGATACACATTTATGAATTCAATTCATAATGATGCAGTTTGTTTCCGTTTCCACACCACGTTATTCTCATTAGCCGACTGAAATGAAGCACATTGCAGTGTCAGTCCTGTGTATTTAGACAGAAAAAAGTCCCACAGCCCCCAGGAGGTCCAGACCAGGACTGTGCCTGCCTGGGTCACATTCGCATCAACGGGTAACGTGACAGGCCACATCCTGTAAACTGGAACCTCTCTTCAAAATAAATACATCACAAAAATCTTTTAGGAAAGTGCAAAACTGGCTGTTTTTACCATAATTTGATCCACCGTAAGCACATAATCCGTCGACTGCGACATGGAGAATTGCTGCATTTACTAGTTCAAGTGCAGGCGGGATTCTCTGCAGGCCATCGCAACGCAAAACATTTCGGAGCGAAGCTGGTCCTGCTGGTGGCACTGCAATTCCAACGAACAGGTGAAGTGTGCAAACTGAAACAACCAAACCCATACGAGCCCCTGAGTCTGTCTCAAATATTTTCAGCATGAATTGTGTAAACTGTTTCCTGGGGTAGTTCAAAGGCAGGGCAGCGAAATGGAGACCCAACTGGTCTGCTTTTTTTATAGAAACGAAACATGGGAGAACGTTTTCTTAAAAAAAAAAAAACAACCCTTACATTCTATCCTGATTATAAAATGTTTGTGATTCATGGAAAAACTGTGTGTCATGATAGGAAATGTGTATCAACAAGTTCTCCCATTGCTACTGTGAAGCCAACTCTGTTTTTCAAGCTGTATTCTGAGAAGCATTGCAGCATCCAAGGCATGGATTTGCTTGGTATGCATAGTTTTGTTTAGAAGGCATTTCGTTTTCCAAAAGGACAGGATAAAATTGAGTTGTTCACTAAAAGAGGGGGCGAACTCCAGCTAAGACCAGGCCTCGGGGGAACCACAAAACTAGCCGTTCGGCCCCTTTGGCTTGAGGTCTCTCTGCCTGCCAGTGACACTGCAGGAGAGAGAGATCCTTCCTCAAGCAACAGGTCTAACAGATTGACTAGGCTGTTTCTGCAGCAAAGAAAATTTAGCACTGGTTAATCTGCATGTATGGTAAGAAATGCAGGTATGCCAAGGACTAATTTTCTTCCCTTGGAAAGCGATTTCATTTTAAAAGCTCACAGCCTAACCAGTACTGTGCTCTGTGATTCAGTGAAAAGAAATACTATCCCAAGCCAGACAGTGGAAACTTCCACCAGCAGAGAGAGTGGCTTCACCTACGACAGCATTACTGCTCCTGGCACAGCAGGCGAGTCTTTGCAAGGGACAAAAAACCACCAGGGCTGAACCTGGAACAGATCCCCCGAGCACGTGGCCCCTGCCTGGACAGCCCTCGCAGCATGCGCTGATCTGTAGGTCTACATGGAGGAGGAAGAGAACGCAAATGGGAATTAGGCCTCTCTTCTCTGACGCAGGAAAAACCTAGGTCTAGCTGTGTTTTCTGAGGGACCTCTTGCTGTACGCAGAGGAGGACGGAGGAGAGAAAGCACGGATGTTAAGCATAAGGCACATCTGTTTTACAAAAGAAAAACGTCTTGCAGCTAGCTGGCCTGCATCACTCAACGTGCCAGGAAATGGCCTAGAAGCAATATGCCAGGGGCTCCCTTGCATGACTCCAAGGATACTCTTCAACTATTCTGGGGACCCCACAGGAAAGGACTGGAGGCGTCCCCCATCACTACAGCTCAGCGCTTGGCTTCCAGGGCACGTGCGCACTCTCGCTCTCTCTGATGTACTTTGGCTTGCTAATACTGGCAAAAACAGTGCAGAAACCTTCAGCCTGCGTTGAGAAACCAGCCCTCTTCAACGGAGCCATTAAGCTCGAGTGCTCCAAGTGCAACCGCGCCAGCCCCCAGAAGGGATCAGTGCGTGGGGCAGCCTGAAGCGAGGCCGTCCAGAGCGGCCCTTCAGACAGCCGAGTCGTCCTCCTCCCGGGTGTCCCCCACCAGAAGTGAGTGCTTGTCAGGCTCGCTGAGAACGATGCTACTGAGGGACCGTCTGTCGGAGAAGAGGGAATTTATGGAGGCTCGGCTGTAATTCACAATCCGATCCATCAGGCTCAGTTTCGGGGATCCTGGCCCAGGGTCATCGATTCCTATGTGGACGCTGATTTCTGAAGGGCTTTTCTGCCTCAGCTGGCTGTGGGTGCGGCGTTCGTATTTCTCACAAGTAGGCTTCTTGTAACTACAGGAAGGGAAAAACGAATACCAGTTCTGTTACCAGCTCAAAGCAGAGCTCTGGCATGTAATAAATGGATGCTTAGTGTTGAAGTCAACTAAAATGTACTCCAGTGAACTGGGAAACAGACTTAAAGAAGAATAAAAATTGGCCGCACCACAAGTTCTTATAAAAAATAGAGTTGGCAAAGCCATCTCTAAAGAGGCGTTTCTGCTTTTCCCTGAGAGAGAGAGCATCTTCTAAGAGGACATACGCAACAGGCAACAGCAGTCTTGCTTCTTTTTGCTGCTAATATGCACATTCAATAAAACCATCAATCCAGAATCAACAGGAGTATGCTTTTTAACTAAATGGCAGTCCCAGTTTGAAGTAAGTGTGCATTGCAAGGACTAAACGAGGGAGCCGAAGGCGCACACCGATGGGATTTTCTCCAAGCTGCTGCAAGCGAGCACTCCCAGGACACCTGCACTCAGGGCTGTTCTCACAAGCCCTGCCTCGTTCTCCTCCGTACTTCATACCAAGCCCTGCCACATTTCGGAGCATCTCCCCTGGTTAGCTGCAGAAGTCCCCGCACCTGGTCAAAGCACCTCCCATCATGAAAATTATTTGCAGACTGGGCTAAAGGGAGAGATTCCCAGCCCTCCGATGGCCTCTTTTGAGAGGAAGGGAGACGGGGAGGAGGGCAGGAATTCCTGACTAGACAATCAAGTTTCTTTCAGCTCCTGAGAGAAAACGCGGCAGAACGACGACGACGACAACAAACCAGACAAGCAAGACCCATGGACAGTCCAGCAGCCGCTCTTTCTGAACTGTGGACTGAAAGCTGCGTTCCAACCCCAGTTTGGCCATGATTCAGCCAGCGATTGGCCCCACAAGTTCAATTTGCAATAATAACACCAGCTAAGGCTCTGCACAAAGCACACGCTCCATAAAAACGCCAACATAAAAGGGAAGTGAGCAGAAAAGAGAAGAGAAAAAGGGAAATCGATGGCATGGATGGAGGGTTTTGGCCGCTTCACTGCTGACCGCTAGGAAACCGTTCAGGACTCTTTGAGGAAGTGTGGGCGCGGCAAACCCTGCCCTGGATTTCCAGAGGGCAAAGCTCAGGTGGCTGCCGCTCCCCTTGGGAATCCGAAGGCCCTTCCTGAAATCCGGTGACGGGAAGCCAAGCACGGTGTCAGCAGGAAGAGCGCATGAAGTGCCGAATATGCCATACTTACAGTTTCAGTAGCAGAGAAGACAAGACAACGGACACGGAAGAGGCCGCCATTGCCGCGGAGCCCATCCAAGGCTGCAGAACCAACCCGATCGGAAGGAAGACGCCTAAAAGGAAGGAATTTGAAATAACGCAAAGGAAAGCCAAACTTCAGTCTCATAGACACACTGGTGAATGCACATTCCTTGAATGACCGTAGGGGGGAAAAAGCAGAAGGGAAAGTGAAACCAAAGTACAAGATGGGAAAGATTTAGGGGCTACCAGAGACCAACTTAGCTGAAGTCAGCTATGTAATTTTGAGGCACAGTTGGGGAAACCAAATCTGCTCCATTTTGCTGCTTAACTGAGAAATCTTTTCTTTCTTCTACCCAAGAATGCTTGAGGAAAAGTGTAAATAACTGGGATGAGTTGCAGCTCTTAATGCTTCTCTTCCTTTGCAACATGTTGATATTGATTACAACTTTAAGTTCTCTCACACAAATTCCTTCCGAAGGATGCCTCCTCATAAATAATATTTAATGGAAGAAAATATCCAGAATTATGCACATTGGCGTAACCAACAAAAGTTACGTACCGGCAGCTACAGGAACGCCAATGAGATTGTAAATGAGCGCGAAGACAAAGTTGATTCGGATCCTTTTCACAGTTTTCCGCGATAAATCTATACTTGCCACCACGTCCAGCAAATCGTCCTGCCAAATAATTATTTACAAGAGCAATTGCACTGGGAACACAGTAACAGCTCATGTTGCACAGTTGCTTATCAAGTCTTAATATGGCGAAACAAACATTTCAAGTGGTATCAGTGAAGCGGGAATGTTTAAAGCCCTGTCAATTCTCTCTCATAAAACACCACTAGCCAAGAAGCTGTCGCCTGAGAAAGAGACGGGCGGAAGAGGCTGGGCGGCCGAGCCCCTCCCTGTCCTCATGCAGTATGTATGTATGCATGCATGCATGCATGCATGCATGCATGCATGCATTTAGAGCATTTGTATGCCTCATGCAGAATGATTGACTGATTGATTGATTGATTGATTGATAGCATTTGTATGCCGTCCCATCGCATAGCCTCTGGACGGCTTACATAAATAAAATAAAACATAATACAGATAAAATCCGGATCCACCCTGGCTGATCTGGCTTTTTCACACAGGCAGGCAGGCATCAGTCCCTGCTCCTCCCTTTGGAATGCCAAGGAAACAGTTCATCCTTCCCAGCCACTTTTTCCTCGTCATTTTTAAACAAAAAAGCAGCAGGACCAGCACAGGGGAAACCACCGCATCGCCCGCCCACACAGGGCTTCCGGCTCAAGCCCCTCACCTACCCGGATCAGCACGATGTCGGCTGCCTCGATCGCCACGTCGGTGCCGGTGCCAATAGCAATGCCGACATTGGCCATGGCGAGGGCGGGGGAGTCGTTGATGCCGTCCCCCACCATGGCCACCCGCTTCCCCTCCTCCTGCAGCCGCTTGACTTTGGCCACCTTGTGCGAGGGAAGCACTTCAGCAAACACTTTAGTGATGCCAACCTGGAGAAAAGACCAATATCCAAACTCTATCAGGAGTTTATCAGGAGAGCCAAGGGCCCTAATGCAGTTGCAACAGGTAAACAGGCCAAGGCTATTCAAGTCAGAGAACTGCGTGAGCCTCATTTCCAGAGATATCCCTCCCACAGCCAAAGGCTTCCGGGCCGAGCACCGAGGCAGTATTTGAGACCCGCTGAAGGGCTGAGTGAGCGTGACAAGCAATTCTGCCGCGTCCTGAAAGTCGGAAGATGACGCTCCAGCCCTCAGAGAAGTGAGGCAGCTAGGCAGGCTAACCCGAGGAGTCGAGCAGCTCACCTGAGAGGCGATGGAGCGGGCTGTTTTGCTGTTGTCACCAGTCATCAGAACCACCTCCAAACCCATCGCCTTTAAAGTGCGGACAGCCAGTTCCGCTTCCGGTTTCACAGTATCAGCGATAGCCACCAAGGCACAAAGTTCTCCTACAGAGAGATCACAAACAGGCTTCCTTTAATCTGCAGATCAGCTTCTTGGGCGGCAGAGAGCGTCTTTCCCCTTGCTTTTCCTCTTCCCGTTCCTTCACTCCCTCTCCCCCTCTTCCTCCCATCCCTACTGCTCTCTCTCGTGGCATGCATCAAATCAAAGAGGCAGAGAAATGCACAGAATTCACCCCCTCGCCCCGATCAATCACCAGGCTTACCGTCCACAGCCACGAGGACGGCCGTGCGACCTCGCCGCTCCTGCTCGATCATGGCACTGTCAACGTCGCTTCTGATGAGGAGGCCATTTCTAGACATCCACTCCCGGTTTCCAATGAGAACAGAATACTTCGGAGAACCCCACGTGGCTGAAAGGAACACAGTGTGGTCGGTATCCGAGAAAGGACCTACTGGGCAGCAAGTGCCCCGCTCACGGAGACGGTTCATGGGACCCTGGCTCAGGGCAGCAGTGCCAAAGAGCTGCAGGCCTGTGGCAAAATCCCCGGGGTTATGCGGAGGTGTGCGCACTCCACAAGCAGAACGGTCGTGTTGCGGCACTTGCTGGACTCTCCTGCTCTGAGTTACGGGTGGGGCACAACCACCTGCTTGAGCGTGTTTCAGTCTGGCGCTTGACTTGACAAGTGAGTTGTCCACATGCAAGGTGCCGGGGGGGGGGGCATCCAGAGACAAGCCCCTCCCAATCTGCTGTGTGACATGGCTAGGTTCCTAGGCACGAGCCACAGAATTGCAGCACTCTATGCAAGCATTTACTTGGAGAGGTTGGCACAGGTGGTAGAGAAGGAGGCTAGCAGATTTTTATTTATTTATTTATTAAAACATTTCTATGCCGCCCCATTCGCCGAATGGCCTGAGGTGAGGAGCCAGCCAGCCAGAAGCCCGACCTGGACACTCTGCTATGGTTTCGCGTGGTGGAAAAGGCCCGGGCGTGTTCATTCCTCTTGCTCCTTCTCTGCCCCCACCTGCAGAAGAACTGCGAGCTTCCAGTCCTCGCAGTTTCTCGTTCCTTCAGAACCCGAGAAATCCTAGCTTTAAAAGCCCAAGCAACTGCCAGTCCTGTACGGAGGAACGGAAAAGGGAGGGAGAGGTACATGTGTACCGATGACATGACTTGACGTTCCCGGTCAGAAGCTGGCTTTAAGGGAGCAGGGAAGATGCCACAACCCTGTTCTGTGAGTCGCAGAAGGTTCCCTGTGATACACTGTGAAGTAACAGTATATGAGACCCCTATGAGAATACAGAATACACCTGGCTCCTTCTTTAGGCATTTAGGAGTTTGCCTAGATAATAGAATGGCTTGCCTGCCTTGTGCCCACCAAGCACCGCTTGAGCGGAAAGAAGCGCTTGCTCTATTCTGGCAACACACAGGACAGAGCCCAGGTTCTGCTTGGTACGGTAAACATCCTACAAGCGCATCTTTACTCACTTGGCAACTGCTCGCCAATGATCAGGGCAGGCTGGATCAGGTCCTCGTTCCGCTCATCAACGCTCACAAGGGCTGCATTTTTGACGTTGTTGTCGTCAGTGCTCTCTTCCCTGCTGTACAGAAGGCCTTCGATATTTGAGACTTTACAACTGATGCCACAGCCGGGGACTACCTGAAAATCCGTACACTTGCCAAGGGTGTCTGTGTCCAGTTCCTAAACGGAAGGAAAAGAATCAGGTAAGTGGTCAGGGAACTTAAGGAAGGGACCCAGACATGGGCTGCAATCAAGCTGCCCTAAGTAGAACCTCGTGGCCCTAACAAAGTCTTGGCATAGTCCTAAAAGGTAAGAATCATTGGAAGTCCTGAACTGAGTGGCCGGCAGGAGTAGATTGGCGTTAACATCACCCACTTAGGGGTGTTCCCATAAGAAAGGAGCGCAATGGAGTTGTACGAAGATGGACCACTTTCTGGTCAGTTTTGCATGGTGTGGACAAAGCAGCCCAGAAAGGCATGCTCTCTCTCCCGACACTGGAACGTGGCATCACGCATGAAGCCAAGCTGGCGGGGGGCGCAGCACAGTTGAGGAAGGATTGTTCTCACTGAGAATATCCAAAAACCATGGAATCATTTCCACAGGATGTTAGGATGGCCATCAATTTGGGAGCATTTTGAAAGGAGGCTGGACAAACTCCCGGAGGAAGCTGTCACTGGCTATTGGTCCCCGTGGGCAGATGCTCCCTCTGGTATCGCAGGCCGGGTGCCTGAGTGCACTGGCGGCTGTGGAACATAGGCTGCAGTCCTGTTCTGCCTGTGGGCGGCTGCTGGGCCACCGTGTGAACAGGCGACCGGATGAGCCCTGGTCTGCTCCAAGCTAACCGCTCTTTATGCTCCCAGGTCGGTCTATTATTGGCCAGCAAAAGACGTAGCCTACGACACTCCCAGATCAGCTGATAGGAACTGCAAGATGCACAGCGGTGCTTTCCCACCACCTGCCCCGATGGCCCATCAGCCTGGAATTGGGCATTCGCTTGACTACCCTCTCTCCTTGTTCACTCACTATTTTGTCCCGTGAAAAGCAATCATGTGGAAAGGCATTGCTGCAGTCCAGACCGAAAGTGCTTTCATTTGGCCCTGGCCCTGGGCCAGCACAAGCACGAGCATAATAATCACAGACCGCTTCGAGCAACGGAACGTCAAAGGGTCAATATCTCTGCCAATTCTTCCCACAGAACCTTTGACCTCAATAAAGATTTATTGGGGGAAATACACATGTTAGCGAATTAAAGTATCTAACTTGTCCCGCCATTTAATTTGTCCAAATGTTGATAAAGTCACTTTGACTGGGAGATTACACTGGCCTCCATCTTGGTTCAGGAAAACCAGGGCATCCAAGCCAGGGGAATCTTTGGATCTGGGTTTCTGCCTTGGGTGATCCGAGCTGAAGGAACTTTCTACAGCTCTTTTGCTGCTATCGAGTGGAGTTTTGACTCGCTGGGGCTCTGGGCCTCATCACGGGACCACTCCAGATGGTTCACCGAGGAGGCTGATGGAACGGGATGGTTTCCTGATGGGCTCTTGGATATTTCCCTGTCCCCTCGGCCAGTGAATCTGTTGACGCTCCAGCTGACTTTGAGGACGGAGCAGTGGCTGCACGATCGCGTCTCACATGCTCTCCTGCTTAGTGACGCCAGCAGAGCTCGGGCTTCCCAGGGAGCCGGGAGTGCTGAAGCGGGAGGGCAGCAGCAAGAGCGATGCCGGTGGAAACCCTGAACACAGCCCAGAATTCCTCTGAAAGTCCGTGACTGTTGGCTGCTCCGAGCACCATTTTTGGCAGAAAGGTGAGGCGTTCAGTCTGTCAGCTCATCCTCATAAAACTTCCTGGGAAAACCTACTTGCAGGGAAGAGGATGCAAGCACACCCCTGAATCGCAACCTCACGCAACAGCCGCACGATACAGAAAGCTCAGCACAGTGACTGCGGCCCTTGGCTAAGGGCTTCCTCTCGTTCCAGCCCCGGCCTGAAGAGCGCCCGACACCGACTCCGCTACCTTTTTGCAGTATTTCGTGATCGCAGTTCCCAGGGGGTGCTCGCTGTTGCTCTCCGCCGTCCCCGCCAGCGCCAGAATCTTGTTGCGTGGCATCCGGCTGCTGTCAACCAGAGCCTTCGCCAGCACCACCACCGGCGTTCCGTGAGTGATGGTCCCCGTCTTGTCAAACACCACGACTTTGACCTGCGAGCAGACACACACGTGAGAAGCAACGCTCTTCTGCAGCAGGGAGAAGAACAGGCCGCTGCAGGCTCTGGATGAAGACGAGGCTTGCTTGTTCCTCGATAAATCTCCATCCTTTGGCCTCTGCAGCCCGGCCAAACAGGAAAGGCAGATTTCGCACCTTGTGAGCCATCTCCAGAGGTTCCCCGCCTTTGACCAGGATGCCGTTCTGCGCTCCGACGCCAGTGCCCACCATCACAGCAGTCGGGGTGGCTAATCCCAGCGAGCAAGGACACGCAATGCACAGAACTGTAATGGAGGCTTGGAAGGCAAAGCGGATGACCACTTCGGCCTTGGAGATGCTTCTGCTGTATCCCTGTCGGCAAAGCAAAAGCAGCTCAGGTCTGATCAGAGGCTCTTTCCAAAGACTGGAGGGGCCGCGCCACAAGTTCAGCTCAGCTCGGACGCAATGGGAAGTCATGCGTAGGCGGATCATTTCGGCACGTGCCCCCACAGGCTTGAAAGTTGCACACCGAAAGATGGGCCACTTTACAGACATAAAGGAGAGGATCATGCATGCCACATGTGTAAGAACTGGATGAAAATCAGAACGAAAGTTCAGCAGTAAGGCCGCTTCTGCCTGGATAAGCCACAAGCCTTCTAGCCATTGGTAATGCAGCGGAAGCCCCGGTAGGGAATACAAAGAGCAGAGCAAGCAAATGGAGGAAAAGCGCCAGCCAAGTTCCCCTTACTCTGCCCAGCCATTATCTGCCACGTGTGGAAATCTCGCTCCTGGAGAGCAGCGCACTCAAGGCGGCTCGCTGGCGCGTGTCAAGACACCGCCGCAACAGCACGGCCTTATGGGGCAAACCGAGTTCAGAAGACTTACCGGAAAATAGGTTTCCACAATTTCAAAATGGAGGAACCCGATCACCACCCAGGCAAAGAGTGTCACCACAGAAACACCAACAATGAAAGGCACGAAGTAGCCACTGAGTTTGTCAGCAAACTGCTGAATTGGAGCCTAAAGTGGGGAACAAGAAAACAGTCAGTTCTGTCAGGCTGCACTGGAGGGTTTTGGGCGAACGTGCATCGCCCATATATTTGCAATTATCAGGAAATAAAGCCAGCCCCGCCATGTTGGAGACCCCAGGGCTCGCAGACCACCCCTGCCTCCCATGCGTCAACGTGTCTTCACCTTAGCATGTTTTTTCCTAATGGGAAAAAGGAAAAGGGTGCCCTTGATCACCGCCTGTACTTTGAGCTCCAGAGCGTCGCCTGGCGCGCCGGATCCACTTCTGCCTTGCTCTTGGCCAAGCTACTCTTGCTTTGGTCTCCCCAGCCAGCCCCCTGGGAGACGAATGTCGCATGGCGCTTTGTCCAGCGTGGCAGCCATTTATTTTATGAACGGCCAAGACCACCTCCTGCCCTGCTGCTTCCATTCATCATGCCCTCAAAATCCTAGATAGGCCACCAACCTAAAGAGGTGGGAAGCCCTGAAATATGCTCCCAACACTGATGACATACGGTCGGGTTGGGGAAGTCTTGCCTGAACGGTATTTGGCATACCCAGACTGGGTTGCCGTGCTGCTGGCGTGCTATTGGCCAGGAAGAGAGGAGGAGACACAGAGGATTAGGCACCTTAAACCAATTCCTTCCCAAAGGCCAGTTTGACCCAGCACTGGAGGCAGCCACAAATCTGAGCCGAAAGATGGCCAGCGAAACGAGGCGAAGCCCTCGCCCACCCCATTGTTAGGACTGGTGACCCTGCCTTTGAGGTCTGTGCCTCCTCCACAAGCTTGACGATCTGGGAGAGCGTGGTGTCCGACCCCACGTGGGTGGCGGAGATCAGCAGGGATCCGTTCTGGTTGATGGAGCCGGCCATGACGGTGGCACCAGGCTTCTTGGTCACAGGCATGGATTCACCTGGGAAGACAGGCGGCCGGCGGGATATGAAAGGGGCAGTTCTGAGGCAGCTGCCTTGGGACCACGCAGACGGCCCCGGGGAAGCATGAAAGAAACCCGCTTGCCTGTGATGAGCGATTCGTCCACCATGGAGTGCCCTTCAATGACACGGCCATCCACGGGAAACTTGCCCCCTGGGACCACTTTGACGATGTCCCCCCGCTGCACCAGTTCCACATCAACTTGCTCTTCACTGCAGAGAACGGAAACAGTCAAGAGAGGGGCGTGAGCTGCGCGAAGCTCTGGCCTGTGGCCTCCTGCACCACACTGGACTCTCCTCCTCCGAACCTCTCCTTAGCAAGCACCTTTGGCTCCATCATTATCCTCAATGGAAACCAGCGGCCTGGGGACCTTGGCACAGGAAAAGCGTGTTCGGGGCATTCACACGCCCTTCACACAAGGATCCCCCTCTCCCCTCTGCAGCCAATTGCTCGTTCCCACGACAGGACCGGTTGTCCGGGTTCAAGCAACAGAGCCATCCATCACGGGCGCGGTGACCCTTAAGCATCCCATGGGCTCTCAGTGTATCTTGTTGCCCGCGGACAAGCCACCCGAGGGGAAACGATCTGGGCTCCCGTGACTCAACGACCCACTGCGGGCAGCAACCCACAGCAGGAGTTGTCCGTGCAGTACAGAAATGAGCAGCACGTGGGAATCTACGAGCACAGAGGGCTGACGGACGCGAAGGCCGCCCTTCCGTCGTTTAGTTAAAGCCACACAACAAGCCTCACCTCAGCAGGATGTTGTCCGGGCCCAGAGTGACAACGGTCGCTTCGGTCGCTTGCAGCGAAATCAGCTTCGCCAGGGCTTCTGATGTTTTGCCCTGCAAAGACACGGAGGCGCAAGTGTTGCATGCGAAGCACTGCAAACGGGGATCGCGAGCCACAAGGTCACGTGCCACACGAGGCCTGCTTCTAAGAAACGCCCATTACAAGCAGCCCACACTTTCCGGCAACACGCGAGGCAGGTCCACGCAACGGGGCCACCTCACTGGCAATCCTACCCAAGTGCAGGGGACACCATTCCGGCACAGGAGTGGGCCCCTCCCCGCCACTTCCACCCCTCCTCCTTGAACCCAGAGCAGGGCGTGGGAAGAAGCTGCTGGGAGCCGCCCGGCACTTCCCCGCAGGTGCCCCGGTGCGCGTGGTGGGGAGCCGCTTGGCCAGAGCCGCACGGGGACGGCTTCTTCCGCATCTCACTCGCCCTCCCACGGGCCACGTTGTCTGGATCCAGGGAGGATCCAGCACACCCTGGAAGGAGCCGTGGCTTCCTGAGGCTTCTCCGCAGCCCCCGCGGGCTAATGCGCCATGCAAACCCCGTAACCCCACCACCTTCGCGTCTCAAGTTGGCATGAAGACGAGTGTGGGCAAACGTTTCCAGCACTGGCTTTCCAAGCAGTGCTTTCGAAACACTTTCTTGATCTCTGGAGTGGCCTGCCTGACTTTTCCTCCAAATTCTCACTGGTAACTGAGAGCTGCACCTCGAGGCACCAAGAGTGTCTCTCAGACTTCACTGGCGACTCATCTAGAATCTCCTTCCCACTCCTCTCACCCGCGCCCCAAAACACAGGCGGCCCTTTCAGGGTTACCTTGGCCACGTGCTCCAGCCATCGCCCCAGCGCAATGAAGACGAACAGCATGGGAGGCGTGTCAAAGAAGGTCACGGGATTGACCCTCGCCCTCTCGGCCATCGCAACCAGCAGCACCACAGAGGAGTAGACAAACGCAATGCTGGTGGCCAGCACAATCAGCACGTCCATGTTGGCTGTCTTGTGTTTCAGTGCTTTGTACGCCTGAATATAGAAATACCAGCCTCCGACTAACTGTAAGGAAAGCAGAAGCCAGCATGGTATCTCATACCTGATCACAGGTAAGCCGGAAAGACACAGAACCATTTGAAAGAACAAGCTACTGCACATCTCTGAGCTTTTTCTCCGCTAGGTTCAGGCAGTGGGTTCACATTCAGTCAACGAGCTAGAAAATCCTTCATAGTGCAGCCTCAAGGGAACAGAGGTAGTTCTGAATAAGCAAAGTTCTCGAGGGCAGAAATACACACAGCTGCCAGAGTGTGGAGCCTATTTCTATCCTTCCACCATGATGCAAACGTTAAAAGTAACACGGATCATTACTCTAGCTTTTTTTGGCTCTGGAGTGGGACTTGGTTTGGAGGACAATATAAAAGCTAGATCCACGAATAAAATCACCACAGGATGTTGTACTGAAATGAGACCTTCTAACAACTTAATTCTGCATTATTGCAATGCAAATGAATACTGCATTTTAGGCCAAACACACACGCACTGAAGTCCTGAGTAGTTCCAACAGGATTAGGCTGAGCTCGATCCTTAATCCACAGAATTCACTCTAAGGAATGTCGACATGAAGCGTAAATACCACCCCGCTAACATTTCACGTATGTCTACTTGCCTGCACAGGGACACACAAAACAAAGGAGAGCAAATTCATAACGGACAACCCAGGAAAGATCTGGCGCTCCAGGAACATGGACGAGTGAAATGCCTCCATCTCTTCGCTCGTCAGGTTTGCTGCCTTGTGCATGGCTGACATGTGGCTCTCCATCACCATCATATAGATCATCAGCCCCATCACAGGAACGCAGAAGAACAGGCTAACAAGAAAGGACCGCTTCCACCTTAAATCAGAAGAGAAGAGAATACCGTTGAAAATGCTGTCACAACACAGGAAATTAGGCAAAACTAGAGTGATACACAGCACGTGGAGCAAAATTCCTGTCGTTGGCACCATGGGTGGCGAGAAACATTCAGTGGGCTGCATGGAAGAAGCCCAGAAGCAAAAGCCAACTGCTGGAGACGACAAAAATGCAACTCTCTGTTTGCAGAGAGGTTTTCACCTCCGGAAAGCACAGTGCAAAAAACCCTTCGGGAGTAATCAGAGCCTTCTGAACAGGATTTGGGCATGAACGCAAAAATACTTACTGCCTTATCTCCTGTCTGTGATCTAAGTGACTGGCAGATCTATCTTTCTTCACCAGTGAAGCGTTAAACCCTAAATTCTATAAAGAAAGAGGCAGAATTCTTTTAGCATGCAGTGCTGTGCAATGCATCCTATTCTGAAACTAGCGAGACAGATGCAATGACAAACATTTGTCCTAGAAGCCTTTGCAACTCTGTAGTATGCTTTAAGGAAATGATGCAGTACCATAGTATACATCCATGTATTATCTGTTGACGCGGCTTCTTATTACTACTACTACCTAAAACCAAGACTTTGTATTCCATGCGCATGCACAGACAGCTGCAATGCAAACGGCCAAGACCAGGCCAAAATCGACTCAGGAGAGTGAACACCAAGATCACTCTTGCCTTAGTCCTGGCGCCTTTACCACCCGCATCCCCGGCTGACTACGCAGGCCACCTTCGCGCCTGGGGCACTCACCACCTCTGGCTCTAGAGGCTTGCGTAACTGCACATCCACTCACCTCCACGACCTGTATGATGTCTCGTGGACCAACGATCTCCCGATCGTATTTAATGTGTGCCTTGTTGGTGGCGAGTGCCACGGAGCTGTACAGGACGCCTGCTGTTTTCATGAGCGTGGATTCTATTTTATGGACGCACGAGGCACACGTCATTCCTCTCACCTGTTACGAACAAAGTGTGCCTGCGTCAGAAATCATACAAGCAGAGAATGGGCTGACAGAAAGAGGAGTTCTCCCGGACAAGAGGACTCTCTGAGAGCCACCCTATCCCACGGAAGCAGTTCCTGTTAGCAGACTCCCATGCCACGAAAAGCGGGCCCTCCAAGCTTTTAATAAGCCCCCTTTCTGTCACTTAGCTGCACGTGGAGCTTCCTCAGCCCCTAACCATGGAAACACCCTTGTAAACCTGAACGTTTCTGGCATCAGAGTTACTCACCTGCACTGCAACATTCCTGCCCAGTCACTTCTCTCAGTGGTGCTATCTCTATAATAAGCTCTCTAAATAAATGCCTGCAAATAGGGCTAATTATGCAAATAACCTGCTTACAACAAGCTCCAAGATGCCATCTCCTTCATCATAATTCTCCAGAACTGTAGCACCAAATCCCAGATCTCGGATCGATTCTGCAATAGCCGGCGGCTGGATGATGGAAGGGTTGTACCTCACTTCCGCCTTCCCAGCCATCAAGGTGACAAGAACGGTGTAAATTCCTGGAAAGACAAGGCCAGGACTGTAACAATGAAGAAATCCTCTGTGTAACAAGCACTGGAGCGATTTGGCTGAGCCCATCACATTTCTCTTACTCAGAAATTAGCCCAAAGTGGTGTAACTAGGACACCTTCGGCATGACTTCCAACCTCCCAAGGAACCATTTCAGATAAATGGACTTGACTCCAAACAGAACAGAAGTAAAGACTACTTTGGAAATTGTGTAGCAAAGGAAGATATAAATATTGGATAAATAATCAAATACATACTAGCTAAATAACTAGCAATTAATAACCGCTTCCTTGAATATATAATTAGCTCTAACAAAGTTTTAATAACTTCATATTAAACAGCATTTCTACAAATATGAATATGACAGATAATTTAACCAATCAAATGTGGTTCAGCTTTTCTCTTTCTCTTTTCTATTTCTTTTCTTTTTTTCCCTCTTTTTCTTTCAGGGGTTTGAAGAGCATAGCCAGTAATTACTTAGGAGTAATCGGTCAGCAATTTAATAATAGTTCTTGTAAAAACTATAAATTCTGGGTTGCTCTTACTTCGACATTAATCATTAATCACAGAAGAAATGGAAGGCACATGCCCCAGGCAAGGCAGACGGCCACTCAAGGCCGAGGCGCTCTCTGAAGACGAGATCAAGAAATGCTCAATCTTCTCCCATCCGCCCACCCCAGCCCAGCCATCCCCTTGCTCTGGTCAAAGATGCCCCAGTTAGCCAGGCTCCGGCACCCGCCAGCAAAGCATCACAGCAATGTTTGCAGCAAACTGACTAAGTCCTGCTCACCGTCTTCTCTCTTCAGATTCCTCTCAATATTTGCCACACAGGAAGCACATGTCATGCCGCTGACTTGGATGTAGCACTTCAGCGGTTCCTTTATCTCCTGCTTATTGCGAACCGGCGACATGCTGCAGCGGGTTTCCGTCTGGGAGCGTTTATCATCCTGCGCTCTCCCCAGTCTTTCCTGCGAGGGCTGAGTTATGAGGACCACAGGATCTGTGTCTGGTGGTACTGGAAACGGAAAAGAATCACAGAGTTGTAGCGAACTGCCTGACTCCCACAGTCCCGGCAGCCCGAGGACCAAACACCTCTAGGATGCCCCGTTCTTCATCGAAAAAGAACATCTGAGTGGACAGGAGATGTTCCTCCTGTCGGGGCTGCTCAACACAATTCTTGGCCACCACTGAGTTCTCATATGTAAAGCTGCCTCTCAGAATCAACCTCAAGGCAATAATTTCCCCACGCATCTGCACTGCGTCTTCCACAGAAGACGGGCCCCCAAAGAAGTCATCAGGCTTGTCCTTTCAGGTTAATGCAGAAAACACCGGGGGGGGGGGCAGTGGGCACTACCTGTTAAGGACGCCTCAAAGCCCACGTCCTCGACGGCGTTTTTCAGGTCGTCTGGAGAGGTCTGCACGGGATCGTACTCTACGGTCCCGGTGTGGTTCTGAAGGGACACGCACACCGACCTCACGCCCGGCTTCTGGGACAACGCCCCCTCAACGGACTGCACACAAGAACTGCACGTCATCCCCTCTATATGGATCACCGTCACGCACACCAAGGGATGGTGCATGGGGCTGCTCGCAGCCTTCGGAGACGCCGCCGGAGACGTGGGGCTCGAAGGCTCGGCGCCGGCAGGTCCATCAAAAGGGCTGACCCTGAAGGTCTCCGGGGACACAGCCTCGATGGCCCTTCTGAGTGCACTGGCGCTGATCAGGCTGGGATGGTACGTAACAGTGGCGGATTTTTCCTCTAAGGAAACCACTACGCCAGACACTGAGGGGAGTGCTGATATGCTGTTCTGGATGTTGAAGACGCATGAATTGCAGTGCATGCCGTCAACCCGGAATCTGATGGTCCTTAGGGAGAGTGTGTGCTCCGGATTTTCACGCAGGGCTCCTTCCGAGCATTCGGCCTGGGCGCTCTTCAGTCGCTCTACATCAATAGCACCAAGCTTCAGGGGCTTAGGTGCCTTCTTTATGCACGCAGTAAACCCTGCAGCTTCTATTTGGTTTCTTATTTCCTCTGATGTGATGACGTGAGGCTGGTACACGACCACGGCTTCTTGATTGTCCAGGGAGACTAGGAGGTAAACGGGGAAGTGTCAGTCTGTTGCTCTCAGGGTTTTCCACTTAACATCCTACTGGCAGCTTCTGTCTCCATGTTGGTGGCCCAGAAGAACTACAGGCAGTATCTAATACTGCCAGTGCCCTTCCAGGACTCACCGCGACTACCAAGGGGCGCTCCTGGTTCTACAGACAGCCCAAAACAAGTGGAAACACTCATTTCCTTCATGCAGCAGATCAGCTGAGCTTGCAGAAAGGAGCTGTGCTCACGTGTCTCTTTCAGAAAGGCGACTCTGCTCACTTCTGCTTTGCGCGCAGGACTAACTGCACACCGGACTGAGCAAGAGTGCACCAGCATGGTGCCCCTAGCAGCAGACCCCGGAAGCGTTCCTTCCTAGCCACCTGTGGAAGGCAGGATACCACTTCTGGGCCACACAAAGAAGGCTGCGAGAGTCTGCAACAGCAATCAGTCCCACACCTGGGGTGGGACTTCTGAGTGGGAGGAACTTTCCGGGAAGCCCCCTCCCTGGCAGGGTGGGACATAACTGCCATCCCGAGAAGGCTTACGTAGCGCCATTCTGGCAGAAAGTGTGCCGGTCTGGGCATCAAGCTACTTTGCTGCAGAGCCTCCTCTTTGGTTCTCTGCCTCGGTCAGGTCAGAACGCGACAGCATGAAGAGGAAGAGGGCCGGGTGAAACGCGGCTTCTGCGGTGCCCCAGTGACCAGAGGGAGGGCCTGCAACGCCGCCCTGCAGCCTGTCCCCATGGCTTCGGGGAAGCGCTTCTGTCCAGGGCCCAGCAACCCAGTCCTGGGGACCTGCAGTGGCCTGGAGGCCTGGGTGCTTCAGAAGGGGGCGCACCTAAGCCTTCCCCCATTGTGCTGCTGAGAGAACTGCCGGTCCCAAAACTGCACCTTTCTGTAGCTCTCACGGAGACTGGAAAGAGAGGAGGAGAGCAGGGGATCTCCTTTTCTCCTTGTCCCTCTTTTAAGAGTCGTATATAGTGCAGGGGAGAAGCATCATTCCAATTCCCCCTTCCCGGATTTACTATAAGCTGTTGGGAATGTGGGAAGGTCAAGTCGCCCTCTAGCCACGCCTCCTATTTTCCCTTTTCTGCCTTCAACTGAGTCCTTAAACATGCCACGCCTCCACTGCTCTCATCCAAGGTCACGCAAGACACGGGGCTGCTCACACAGTTTATAATTGTGCGACTAAAAGTAGTAACTGAGAAATGACTAAGTGCATGAACAACACCATCCTCTTGTTTGGCTCTGACACTGATCCTTTGGAACAGTTTCCTTGGCCTGGTTTATTTAGCCTGTCCCCGCAGTGACCACCCGCAATCGACCTGACTTTCTTCAGCATTTGGTATCTCTGGGAAATTCAGGTGCAATCGTGGCTTTTTACATATTTGTTTTCTTTCATTCTCGAGTAGACTTCAGGGTATGCTCAATTCTGAATAGCTCCGTTTTGTTTCCAAACTAATACTTTGCTATTAGTGGGAATGATTAATTACAGGACAGCGTCCATGCACCCAATTCTCTACTAAAGCCACATGGGAGCTTAGGAACTAGAAGTCAGCACAGGGAAGGTGGGAGAGCAGGTACGCGAGAGTCTGTGGCTTCGTTCCAGCAGAAACTGCAGTGCTGCAGAATGGATGGGAAGATGCATGCAGACAGAAAAACCTGCAGGGTCAGGACCCGGCCGCCACAGGCCCTTTCCATCACCTTTGATTCGTGTGACGCCTTGCAGTTTGCCAATCTTTCCTTCAATGGTACTAGTGCAGGAATGGCACGTCATGCCCTCTATTTTCATCCTCACGACATCGCTTATTTGAGATAAGGTCGGTTCTTCAAGCATCGCTGGGTTTTTCTCCTGTTTTGCATTATCGGAACTTAATTCCAGTACTATTTGGCTGATCTGTTTGCTATTTATAATAGAAGAGACAAATGAGACAACGAGGGATTTTCTGTCCGAGGAGATTTTCACGTCCAGGATGCCCCTGGCCTTGAGCAGATGAGTACGGATCTGCTCATCTGGTAAGGCTGATTGCCCAGGAAATGCAAGAGAAATGGTGTCCGGGAAAACCAGCTGCGGATTAGCATCAGCGAGAGCAGCACCGAAGCCCATGTCGTCTATCGCTTCCCGTAGTGACTCTGGAGTTTGTTCTTTGGGGTTGTAAATTATGGCTGCATTGTTACCCTCCAGGGAAGCCTTACACGGAAAGAAGAAAAGCACGGATCAGGCAATGTAGCCAAACCAGGATTAAAACATTATTAAGGCAGCATTAACACATCAGGCAGCTTTGCCTCATTCCAGTGACACCTTGCAAGGCGATCTAGTCATTTGAGAAGGATGTGCGAGACTGTACCTATGAAACCACAAATTAACTCAGATTTAGCTGTAAAACAAGATGCCTGGCTACAACATGAGCCTCAATAAAAACAGCCAGATTATTTCCAAATCCCAAAAACAATATTACAGTATAAATTTCTCACACAACCCTTCCCAGAGTATCTCCGGGATACGTAACAATCCTTGTACAGCCCTGACAGCAAAGATACTAATCTCAAACATTTATACACAGAAATCAAAATAGCTAGTTAATCCAGACGACTCAGCTACAAATTAACACTTTAAGTAGAAAGCAAATCTGGAAACACCAGCTTTTCAGAAGCATTTGCAGATACATTCTTATGCAAGAATAAAGCAGAAATAAACATGAAACTCCCAGCTAGGAAGGAAACAATTGAGTTACATGCATAAATATACCTGATATTTTAATAAAGTATAGGCAACTGATGAAGAACCAGGCATTTTCAAGAGGAGACAAGACAGTGCTTTTGATTTAGAAACTGCCTTTTGACTTTTGCACGTAGAAAAAAGAAACCAAATGCACAGTGACAAGATGGGGGATCCCTGACTCTACTATGCAACAACTTGAAATCACTGTAGAACCCAAGCTGAATAGGAGTCAAAAATATGATGTGGCCACAAAAAAAGGCAAATGCTATTTTGGGCTGCATTAATACAAGCACCACTTCCAAATCACACGTACTAGTTCCTCTTTACTCAGCACTGGCTGGGCCTCATCCGGAGTCCTGTGCCCAGTTCTCGGCACCATAGTGTAAGAAAGATGCAGACAGGCTGGAAAACATTCAGAGGAGGGTAACAAGGATAATTTAGGGCCTGGAAAAATGCCTTATGAAGGTAGATTGAAAGAATGGGGCATGTTTAGCCTTGAGAAGAGAAGACTGAGGGCTGATATGATAGCTCTCTTTAAGTACTTGAAAAGCTGCCCCAAAGAGGAAGGCCAGGGTCTCTTTTCGATCACCCACATTGGAGGACACAGAATAACAGGCTCAAATTACAGGAAGCAACGTTCTGGCCAGATATCAGGAAAAACTGCAAGAGCAGTTGACAATGGAGCCTGGGGAGGAGGTGGGCTCTCCCACACCAGTGGCATTCAAAGTGCAACGGGGAGCCATCTGGGAGGGATGGGTTAACTGGGAGTCCTGCACTGAGCAGGGGGGACCTGATGGCCTTCTGGCCCCTTCCAGCTCTGTTACTCTATGATTCTCTGATCGCAGGAAAGGGAAATCGAGATCAAGCTGGGAGAAGAAATCGGAGGAGCCAAAAGCAAACACCGCTGTTTTACACAGGGGTGGGAGGCAGCCCAAGAAGACACAGAGTAAGGAGCACACTGCAGATAAGCAGCAAACCTTTGTATCCAATCCTTCAGCACTGCAGCATTGCTAACTCACCGACTTACCAGGAAAGATGGGACGAACTTCTGAAATCTGATTTGCTTTCAACTGGCTGATTCTTCCCTCACCATTTCAGTCTTTGAAAGGGCAATCTGTTGCCATTCAAAAGCCCATTACATTAACTTCGAATTTTATATTTTCCTTAGGCAAAACACTACCAGGAAGCTACCAGGTGCAACCTAATTACCGAAACGTAACCTCTTTAAGGATCATAGCTTCTCTGGTCTGCCTTTGGCTAGGCTAACATTGATTGATTTATCTGCAATTAGGTGCAAGATAAGCAAAATGCAGGCTTTCTGAAATGGCATTAAACAAGTGCCTTTTTCCCTAAGAGGTCTAAGAACCCAGGAAGTGGGCAGAAAGTCCCCCCCGCCCCCCCCCCCCGCCAACCCCTGGCACGCTCAACACAGCCCCCGGGCAGGCAGACCACAACATGCAAAATTACTTACTCTAACGCAGAGAACCCCGTTTAATTTTCCAATATGCTGCTCAATAGTCTGCACACATGAATTGCATGTCATTCCCTCCACGCAAACTACAACTGATCTGACTCCTGATGCTGGATCCATTCTGTTTATAGCTTCACGTTCCTGGAAATGATGTAGAAAAATTATGACAGAAACAAAGAACTTTTAAGAGAGGCATTCATTCTCAAGCAAAAGATGGCCTAGAGGAAGGAAGGAACTTGAGACACGTAAACATCACTTAATGAAGTTTAGTGACTGATATCTAAATAATGACCTGTGTGTTGCGATCTTTCTGGCTTTCTTTTCTCACCCCATCCTCTTTTATTTATTTGATTGTATACCACATTTCTACTAAGAAATGGTACTCAAGGCAGATTACCCCATTAAAATTGATTAAAACAAGCAAACAAAATATTAAGTATAAGAAACGTAACAATTACAGGGGGGAACAAATGATTCAGAATGTAAACAGAACCCAGTTCAGCAGATCCACTCATAGCACAAAGCTCTTCTTGAATGAAATGGCCTTTGCCTACTGTCAGAAGGACAGCAAAGAGAGAGAGAGAGAGAACTGAGCATCCCATGGAAGGGACTTCCACAGGGCTGGGGACGTCCCGAAAAAGGCCCCATCTCAGCTCACCACTAAACAGACCTCTGAATGCAGCTTTTCCCAAGAAGGGTCTCTTCTCTTTAAAAATAAAACAAAATCCTAAATAGAAACACCTACAGAATAAGGCCGTTTTTAGAACTTCACCTTCACGGTGCACAAATCTGTTTGTCACCCAACAGTTTGAGAAAAGATGATTGCGTTGAGTGCTAACACAGACACTGAGAGAAAATGCACAGCTGCAGTTAAAGAGCAGGTGTAAATAAACCAAAGTAATAGAAAGAGAAAGTCCGGCTGGGTGGCCTCAGTGCATTTTCGTATACAAGGCTCCTTTTTCATGGGACCGTTGTGACAACCAATTCAGTGCACAGAGAGTCAAAACTGACAAAAAGCACTACGCTCAATTAAATCGTAATGGTACGAAGAGCAAGTGTCGAATTACCTCTTTAAATCACCGAAGACAGACTCAGTTGCACAAGGGCTCATCTAATGCTCTAAGCCACCCTGCAAATAAGCTGCATGGCGCAGAGACCCCAGCGCCAGCGTGTTCTCCCTCTGCGTCCTCCAGAAGGAACCTCGGTGTCCTTCACAGCAGAACCCATCTGCCACTGCTGGCCTCATTACCATGCTTCATTGGCCACTTTATTTTTCAGAGCTTCGAAAATGCACCCGGGCCCATATTTTTCAGCCCTAGAAAGGATGCACCTGCGTACATTTGTCTTATTATTTTTGTCAGTCTTCCGCAAATGCATCCCTATGGATTTTCTATAGGCGTAGGGTTAGGGTTCTTGATGAAGTTCCCAACATTTATTATGTATAAGCTGCTTGCTCATAAAATTATCGTATTTGGCATATTTAATTTGAAAGTTCAGTTTATTCAGACACTAATCATGAATTAATCAGATTTACTTTTAAATATTTTTAAAGATAATTTCATGAGCAAACCAAGTTATATATAATTTATTTTATTTTCATAAAGTAACAGAAATCTCTATATTAGTAATGCATGGTTAAAGTAAAGCAAAGTGCTTAAGCAAATTTAGAACTGATCCTTATATTGAACCCATCCTTATATATAATCACTCAGCGTAACTTACGTGAAATTAAATGTACAAGGAATTCATAAAAATCAAACCCTGATCATGAACACATTAAACAGAGAGAAATGCTACAAATTAAACCACTGCAAGAGTCCTTTCAACAGCATATCAACATGCATGCAAGTTCTGCTAATGAGAAACATCTTTGCTTTTACACTAAGATTAATTCTCCTCTAATCCAAAGAGCATTGTCTCTGAACTGGGAAAAAAGCTATCCACAAAGTGGCCAGTTGCCCTCGGTAGGCTCATAAGCAGAACCTGATGCCAAACACCCTCTCACTTTCTAAATTTACAAATGCATAGGGTTTGGAGAATCAGTGTAAAAATGTGCTAACCATCTGAGACAATCCTACAAAAAGTTATGCCTGTTTTGCATACAACCACGAGTGCCATTTTCAGCTCAGCCACACGGTAAATATTACCTTTATAACAACACAGAGACATCAGAACACATTCACATGCTGACAAATCTGGCAGAGGGAAAACGTGTGGCTCTCTCTTCATGGGACACTTTCTCCGCGAGAAGTCTGGACCGAGCCATTCTGAAGAAGTCCGTGGAGAAGGGCTGTTGGGAAAAAGAGGGAGAACACCTGATTCGAACCGCAGCCGCTGCTCCCGCAGAGCACCTGTGCCTCTAGTGAGAAAGGTTCTGTGGCAGAAGCAGGAGGGGCAAGAGCATCACGTGAAACTGCCCACAGCTTTATTAGCTGCAGTTTCCCCGTGTTCGACTAAGCAGGGCAAGAATGCGAAGGCCGACAGCCTGCCTGCTAGCGGAGGAGCACAGGGCCCTCCTCCCGCAGGAACCCAAAGGGGCATGTAGGGGATGCCTCAGGCTGCAGTGAAGCCGGTCACGCTTGGCCCCAGGGTTGTCTACCTGGAGCTATTAACCCCACAACACCTTCTCCTCCAAGGCCCCTTCCTGCCCCGAGAGTGGCAGGTGGGGATCAAACCCATTCCGCTTCCTAAGGACAGCGCCCATTGCGATGAATCGAGGAAAGCAAGGTCCAGAGAGACAAAATGGGGCAGGGGCACCTGCCTGCTGGCCAGCAACGAGGGACGCTGCCAGCAGTCAGCGCAGGTGCCTTCCCGGCCCATCAGTGAAGGATGCACGATGCCAGGTACGCACGAAATACGCACGGCCAAGCCCTGGAGGACGAGAAGGCCATTGTTTACGTCCACGTTCCAGATGGAGGCCTGAGGCTCCGGGTGATTTGCTGATGCCGCTTAAGGAACACACGGCAGAAGTCGGACGTGAATGGAGCAACTCACACCTCAAACTCCTCGCGGGCGTCACGCCACAGAAGCCCAGGGATTATCAGATTATCTACAGGCCTTTGTCACCTGCCAAAGCACACAACACACGGGAGATACATGCGCCACGGGGTGCCTCGGCCACCCTGCCTGTGCTAGCTGTATGCCAGCCCGCTGTGCAGAATCGCTTTCGGTGGGCACAGCTTGCTGGGGTGGTTACAAATCCCCCAAAGCCCATGTTATAGTGCTGTGGGGTGGCTTTTTAAACACCCCAGCAACCCACAAGGCGTGGCATGCCTTGGACTGGCCCTCGAGCACCTGTGGGATCCACAGTCCACCATGGCCTGAGCAAGGCACGCTGGGTTGCAACCACTGTCCGAACCAAGTCACGCTGGTTTGTTTTTGAAGGGCACACGCAATTAAGGAAAACGACCAGAACGCACTGTTTCTGGCCACAGGTGGTTTCTGAAGACAAACTCTGGGCTTCTGCTCTCCTCTTTTTCTTAGATAAAAACACTTTTATCACACAGAAACAGCACTTTGAAAAACTTTCCTGTCAGTTCCAAAACCTACAGCTATGTTCCTACAGAGAAATATTTTCCTCTTCAGCTTCTCTGATGCCCTTAAGTACAGATAATTAATATGCCTTGCATGGCTGCCTGGCACAGAAAAGCAAGATTAGTTAATCAGTCACCTAATTTATCAACATAGGTGCCACTCCGAAGTAAGCAGAGAGTGAAAGGTATTTTGAAATTGAATACATATTAGCTCTCAGTCACTGTAAGCAGGAAAGATCTCTGCTAATATTGCCCTTTTGTGTTCCATGTTACAATAATGCCACAGAACCAAAACCACCCAGGAAACAAAATTAAATGCCTCCTTCACTTTTATCCCTATCACTTAGCTGAAGCTTTAGCTAATCAATGAACTGATTAAAGCTTGAGGCCGTAATATTCTTTCAAAGCCATGACCATTTCCACAAGCTCCTCCACATAGTCAGGGGTCCTGCTAAGTCCACAGAAGAGACTACGGACCATTTGGTGGATGGACTTCCAGATCACTAAACGGTACTTCGGAATATCATTCATGAAGTCCAGCTAACACGGTTCTAACAGATGGACTGAACAAACCCAGACAACCAAGAAGTATTTCTGATCTGAACAACTTGAGAAAATGCAAAAGGTGGGCAAGAAACAATCCAGTAACTGATATACTAATACATCCATTCCGAATTCACTGTTATTCCTCCAGGGCAACAAACTATTTCCTAAAACGCACACAACAAAGCCTGCTTGAAACTATTAGCCACTTTTTGCATAAATAATCCCTGTGGAAGGTTAATCAAGCTTATTGTTTAGGAGGTCAAAGTCTGGAGTTGGATACATGATATTTCTCCAAAGTAATGTAACCAATTAATTGGTGTTTACTGTTAAGTTGTTTAAATACAACGGAATGCTACTTAGTGACGGAACAAGATATACAAGGATGGTCGCGGCAGTGAAACGCACCACACCCTAGAGAAGTCTAAAGGGCTAAATGCTGGCACTGTTGATTTACAACTGGGCCTGGTGTGCACACACTGAGCTAGAAATCAAAGCCCGTGCATGAATCAAAGCACCAAGCTACCAAAAATTATTTTAGCCTAAATATATTTTCTTGAACAGATGTAAACATTCTACAAATATTTTATCTTCTTGCATATTTTGCATATAAAAATTATTGCAGGAAGCATATAGAATTGGCAACATCAGTACTAGGACTTTCAAGTAAGGGGCCGAGGACTTCATCTTAAGGTTTTACACAAAAGTATGGTATCCTGTTCCAAATCCCGTTTCTTCTTTGTGCAGAAACTTCTAGTTTGCACTGAAAGCAATGGCCCTTGACTGCCTTTGTCCATCGATTTTAAAGAGAGTGAGGCATGAACACCAGCCCTGAAACGCAGCTGAAATGCATAGAGAAAACCAGTTTAATTTGCGAGTTGGCCAGCAACCACCTGCTTAAGCATCTTGGAACGAAGTTTTAGCCACCAACTGATAGATCTGCAAGGTACGAACAACCAGCCTTGTTGTTTTTTTCAGAAGCAGCCGTCCCACAACCTCCTCACCACGAGCGGACAGATGCTGCCATGTCCGTGGCTGGTTGTGGGATTCTCCAGTAGACAGACGCCTAGCTGACCACAATGGGAACAGATGGGCCTTTGCTTTAAGTCACGATGACTCTCTTGCATTCCTCGTCTCTGCTGTCTTGTGTATTTGGGTAAGCTTTACATGTGTTTTATTAGAAATACCTTTTTGTTCTGTAAGTCTAAGTACATTAATAGCTTACATTCTTTTGCCCTAAAAAAATCATGCCATAGGCAACACTGACTCTTCACACATAACAACCAAGCAGGAATTAATTGCCTCCTGGTCGGCTGGGGTTGTGCAAGAGTGAGGAAGCACCCCGTGCCTTCCCCTCCCACCACCTGCCCTCACTGCTTCCTCTTCTCAGCCAGTTCAGAAGACCATCCCAAACACCCCATTGCTGGATGTGACCAATGAACCCAACGCTTCGGGGTTCTGGGGGCACAGAACCCAATTTTTAACCCAACCACATACTGTGACATAAAACACTGGTTTGTTTCAACATAGCTAACAAAGGACATTCCAGGGTTGTTCCTCCAACAGGTACAAAACAGAAATGGAAGCCGGCAGGAGGGCTGTGAACCAAGCCAGAAAGTACCCTCGCCCCATTAATTTACAAGAATGATTTCGCCCCAGAAGTTTAAGCAGAAAGGCCTAACTTTGAATTTAACTTAACTTTAAAGCATTTGTATGTGACCCCTCCTCTAAACTATTCCAGGGTACTGAATTGCAAATATAAATAATAAATGTTTAAAATAAACCACTCACCTATGCCATAAAACCAAGGGATTATGTTAAAATAAGGCAGCAGCTACAAATATGCAGCAGTCCAAGGCAGTTCTCAAATTAAAATGCCTCAGAAAAATGTACGTGGCTTAACTTGAAACTGCTAGAACTATAATTAGCTAATTGCCAGGCACACCTTTCTAAGAAAGGACTTCTGCCACCAGGATACCACTTCCAAAAAGCTCTCTTTGCTCTTACACAGTACACTTCATATAAGGAGGGCACTTGGGGAACAAGTTTGGAACATCTCGAAATACAAACAAGTTAGTATGGCGCAATCCTGCAGATGCTTACGGACAGGTAAATTCCACTGAGACCAATGGTGTTTCATCCCAGGTAAGTGTATACAGGATGGCAGCCTTAATTAACATAATAAGCCCTGTTCAATGTGCATACAGTATTATTATCTCCAAAGCAGCACCAGAAACCATCCACTGAACTCCCCTACTAGGGAGACCAAAAACAAATAATCTTCATTATTTAAATGCAACTGTTGCAAAACATATACCCTTCTAATCAACTTTAATGAAAGCTAAGCCCTGTTTGTTATGAAATATGATGCAATATTTCAGTTAAAAGGAAGTGCAGAATCTAGCCTACTGGGAGAGTGCCTAAAAGTCCCACCTGTGTGCAAAAGCAGATAACAAGGAATGTTTTGCTCACCCTTCCTGAACTTTTTTCAACTTGACATACCTAAATACAGGCATATTCCCTGTCTCAGGGAGTACATACTTTTGAAATAGTTCAGTGCTTCAGAGGAACCAATTTTAACTACCGCACGTCCCTGCTGCGTTATAGGTAAAGCATTACTGCACGAAGACATGGTCGAAACAAGGGAATTACATGTGCAGCAAGACGGACGGGAGCAGCATTAGTGGCAGGATGGAAAACGAGAGCAGAACGCAGTGGGAAGGGCCTGGATGGGGCTCGGGTTGAAACGCGAGTTGCGCGCAAAGGCTGCCAGGCCGTGTCAGCAGGAGGGGCGAGCCCGGGGCCCCCCAAACGCTTCTGCGACCCGCAGTGACCCGCAGCGGGGAATGAACGGGAGCTGCTGCGGCTCGCGGACCCAGCCCGGATGCCGGCCGACAGCCCGTCCCGGCACCGCGCGCCAGCTCGGGGCGCCAGACGAAGGAGGGCACGTCCAACCCGCCGCAAGCAGCTCGCCCTGCCCGGGAACGAGCGAGCGCCCCGCCGCCCGGCCGTGCAGCCCGAACCTCCCGCCACCGACGCCGCAGCGCCGCCTCGCGGGGC